CTGGTTGTATAGAATTTAAATGTGTATAGATAAAGTGATACTAACTGAAAGCAAGTCGATGCTCGTCCAGCTGTACGTAGGGCAGCTGGCCACCCTCGAGCAGCACTCGGCGCGCGCTCACCTCGACCGCTATGCCACCCTCACACTCCACTGTTTCCACGCTGCCCGGCTCCCACGCGCTGTACCTGACAACATTACGTATATTCTTCACACGATGAAACCTTGGAAGTGTTAAAGAAAGAATGTCTGTCTAAAAAGAGTTATAAATATAGATAATATTAAGAAGCTAATTACATACCAGATAAGCAAATGAGTGTGTGTCTGCGCAACAACGGCGTCGCTGTTCTCTATCCACTGTACGAAGCTCACGCCGCGTGCTATTGTTTCCTGCCGCAAGAGATAGTGAATGTGAGACGTTGTTAACTATAGCAATATTAGAGTGATTCAACTATGATTTAAATATCCATTTCTGCTTAAGTTCGCAAAGTCCAAACTGTTTTGTATATAAACTAGAAAATAACTGGCTTCTTGAGCCTAGCCCTTTCAGGGATTTATCATATTTAGACAGAAGCTTTAAGTGTTGCCCAAATCTGAAAGAATGGGTACCTTTTCAGCGGTATCCAATCGCAGCAGCGTGAGGTTGCGGCGCGTGTCGCGGTACAGCAACAGGCGCGCGCTCTCGTTCAGCTCGAGCCAGTCCACGCGCGCCTCGTGCCACCACTGTCCCACCTGCACGCCTGCACAAATAAACACACAATACATATTATCATCAAAACAAAATCACCATATGCACAAAAATTAAAATAGTGACCTGAAACCAGATCCAGTACAGCAACAGTCTGCTTGTCGAGCAGGTATGCGAGGTGCTTGCGGTCCGCGGCCTGCGTCGGCCCTTCGTTGACTCGCACGCTCAGCACGTGAGGGTTCACTCGCTCCGTCCGCACCTGAACACTTTTATGTTTTAAATACTGAACAGTAAGAAGATCCAACATCATTACGGTGTTAAACAAGTGGGCAACCAAGTATTTACAGTGTGCAGAACTTTATCAAGGCCGTACTCGACGACACTGAGTTCACCGGCGCGGTGCAGCAGACAAGCGCCGCCCACCGCCGCGTATATACGCTCCCCGCTGCCACTCCATGCGATCTACAAAGTGAAAGTTAATTTAAAGTGGATATCTTAAATTATTTAGAATTCAGCAAAAACAATTTAAACATTTTTTGCTATTTTGTGCTACATTTAAAGTTACCTCGCTTGTCAGTCCACGCGCTATGTCGCAAAGTATCAAAGTTGTGTTGGTTCTACACACCGCGTACCAATCGTTACCTAAGAATATGAAATTTCTGATTAAGAATTTTCAATAAATATTGGAGCTTCGATATCACCCTCGCTATAATGGCAGTGTAACATCTATAAAATATTTACCGATGAAGCGCACATTGAATATATCGTGTGCGTGGTTGGTGGTGACCGCGAGCGGCGGTGCATCGCCCGCCAGCCGCCGTAGCAGCAGCTGGCGCGGGCTCACGTGCTGCACCTCTACACTGTCGCGCCACACCCAGCGCCTGCACAAATCAACAGCAAATTCCACGTTTTAGCTAAAGAAATTCTTCTGTTTTCAGGTCAGTATCCCGTGAATATACCAAAATACCCCAAGGTCAAATGACAAACTTACCGAGTCTACAAATTACATCATAAATTTATTATAAAACTACCGTCATTAACAGCTCACCTAAGTACAGCTTCTAGTTGTATTACAGCGCCGGTCTGCGAGGCGAGCGCCAGCCTAGTGCCGTCGCCGCTCCAAGCGAGCGCGCGCGTCGCGTACAAGTGGGGGATGTGTAGGGGCGACAACTCGATGTTGCCAGATTCTTTCACCTCGCCCACGAGGCACCCGTCAAACACCCCGAATGCTATCGTCTAAACCAAATACATTTAAAAATATAAACCGGACTGAACAGTACGACACAATAATTCCACAATGACAAATGCAATCCTAAATGCAACTTTTTAAATAATACCTGTCCAGAAGGACTGGCCGCCACGGCGATGAAGTCTCGACGGTCCGGAGGCAGCTGCGGCTCTAAGCTCCGCAATAGAGCGCCGCGCTGCGCCTCATACATTGAAATGCGACCGTCGCATGACCCCACAATCAACTGTAATGCCGAATATAAGCCAATTGATTTAATCTATCAAACAGTAACCCAGAATATAAACCAATTCCAAACACATTTGACGTTGAAAGATGCGATATAAAAATTTAGCTACGTTTTGGCCGTAAGTTTTGACTTTAGCGTAAAATTGAGCAAAGTTACGAACAAAAAAGGCGTACCTGTAATTCGACTACGAGACTGTACTCTAACTTATGTATAACAAGTAATGTGGGCTTACATAAGGCAATAAAAGCAAAAGAGCAGTAGGCGGCAACGCATAGCGGAGCAGCATACGGCCGTTCAGGTATATAGATCCGTCAATGTGGCCGGACGCAAGCGCCGCGTCGCACCGTGCCAGCGCCACGCAGCATGAGCCCGCCGACCACATGCTCGAACTCTTATTGCTTTTACAGTCTAGGGACCTTTGTAGAAATATAAAAAACAGATTTGCAAAAAATTTCAAAAATCTAATAAGTGCGAAGGCTTTCAGGTCAGCTATCTAACTCTTTCAGGAGAAACAAAAACTACATACAAAAAAATACTACCGTCATATTTTTATTTACAATTTTTTGTATGTTAATACCTTATTTTACCATCACTGGTGCCAGTGAAGAAACCAGCCTCCCCAGTTAGCAGTTTCAATGGGGCACCTGATAAGGAGAACTTGTTGCATATGACCTTCTTGCCGCTCCAGTCAGCGCCCACGCGGTACACGAATACCATGTTGTCCGACTGCGCCACCCCAAGCAACTCCGAATTTTCGCTAAATGATATACCTAATGATAAAAAGTCAACTATGTGAGGGTAAACTAGCTAAAACACGACCATTTTACAAGGCTTATTACATACGTACATACAACACCTTAAAAAAAGGAAGTATTAAACATCATCTATAAAACAATTTTTAACAAGAGATGGAAAACAAAACGTACTAGTGATAACATAAGACTTTTTCCCAGCAGCGGCATCGGCTGGCTTGGTGCTGAATTTATCTCTACGTGTTCCATCGAGATCGAATAATAAAATCTGCCGTTCACACGTTGCCACGGCTAGCTTTACGTTATTTGGAGACCAGCTTAAATCCGCAATCGGAGAGTCACAACCCTGGAAAAAATTGTTGAGCACTTAGAAGAAATAATTAGAGGTCAATATAAAAATGTCTTATCTATTCATTTTAAACAATGAAGTAACAGTAAAGAATGATTATACCTGCGATTCTAATAGTGTTTTAGAATATTTGAAACGCATTTTTGATCCGAAATAATTGATTAAAATTAAATCTCAATGTTGATATTAAATAATTCGTTGCATAGCAACCAGCACGTAATGTTGGCATAAGGCACGAGTAAATAAAATACTTTTGGTGATCCTACTTAATTTTTAATAATTGATCAAAATTAATAATACCCTAAATTTTTCACTTAAACGAGTTGTAAACGTATTATTCTAAATAATACCGGTTTTTCGTTTTTTTTGTTCCATAGACAAATATACCCCAAAACACAAGTATCCAGAGAAATATTTTGAAATGACATTAAGTCGGAAACGAGTATTGTCAAGTCTTTCACTCAAGTGCGTTTGTTTTGAGAAGACGTTGTAAGGTTAGGATTTATTTATCTTGAAAAATCAAAGCAATCCGAGCTCTAAAATGACTACATTTTGATATTTAAGTGTACTAGTCCTCAGTTATTTTATTTTGTGTGTTAATTTTATACTTATTAGTAGTCATTCAAATTTATTTACGAGCTTGTTTCGACATAAGCATTGATGTGTTTGTGACAAGTGTCTAAAATTGTTTGGTGAAATTTCAGGACGTCATGCCTTTCGCAAGATTCGTCCAACCGGGGCGAGTGGCCCTGGTGGCCGAAGGCCCATTGAAGGGAAAATTAGTCAGCGTGGTTGATGTCATTGATCAAACGCGTGCACTCGTCGATGGACCCGGCAGCGGTGTCCCCAGGCAACAAATTCGTTTGAACCAGCTTCACTTAACAAAGTTCCGCCTTAAGTTTCCGTTTACTGCACCTACACGTGTCGTAAGAAAAGCGTGGACAGATGAGAAACTTAATGAAAAATGGGCCGAAAGCCAATGGTCCAAAAAGTTAGAAAACAAAGAGAAACGCGCTCAAATGACAGACTACGACAGGTTTAAGCTGAGCTCAGCGCGGGTTAAGAGGAATCGTGCCAGAACTCCAGTATTTAAGAGTCTGAAGGCCCAGGCGGCGCGCAAAGGTGTCTTTGGCAAGAAGAAAGTACCCAAAGCATCGGTCAAGAAACCCCGCGTAAAAAAAGAAACTTCAGCGAAGAAGCCAGCTAAGAAGTAATTCTTATTTTGTATCTGAATGAATAAGTGTATGACTTTGAAAGGATTTGTCGGAATAAAGAATTACTTTTAGCTTAAATGTGTCAATTGATTTTTATCCATATATTAATTTCCTATTGAATAGCTTATGAGGTGAGTTTTATTGTTTTATTTATTAAATATGTTTTTTCTTTACTCAATCTTTTTTATGTTCCAGGTCCAGATGAGCAAGTTCTATAATAGGTAAGAGTTAAGATTACTAGACCATCTAGGTAATTGCTGTACAAATGCTCACATTCATTTGTCATTTCCCATGCAGTTTAACAATTGTAAGAGTAGCATTCTCTGGGCCTTTTGTTACATGACTAATAATTTATTTGTACAAACATTTTAAAGATTATTCCTACATTCTTACTAATATAAAAGTAAATGTTTGGATAAACGGATGTTCGTTAGAAGGTATCTCCAGAACTGCTGCATGGATGTAGCTGAAATTTGGCATAGATGTAGAACATGGAAGACATACTATGGATAGGCTACTTACTAAGTTTTGTAATGCCGCACAGATGGAGTCGCGGCAACAGCTATTAACTATTTAAACATTTAGCCCAGGATATATTGTTGAACACTAGATTAAAGTGTAGTTTTACCCTACCAAAGCCGATACATGTGATGTATAAATCTAGCATGTGTGACTCTGGTTAGGAACATTATCACATTCTGTGTAAGATGCCTTGTTTTGACAAGTCGTCCAAGGGTTGAATGTTACATTAAAATTATTATTAACAATACTCAATTATGGTTTGATCATGTTTAACATAATTAAGGTTTTTTTTTTGTTTTAGAGCACACATGACTCAATATGGTTGGAAATCAACTCACTGGACATAAATTGATATTCCATAAGAGATGAAGAGTCAAGATGTCCGTAATTTGTAAGTATCTTTAAATTCCTTTCGAACATATCTAAAAAATGTTATATGATGAATTAAAAATAGTCTCGTTCGTATGAACTTTGTAATGATTTCAAAATTACCAAATTAACTGATAAATAACTTTTTAACACTGTTATTTTATTGTTACGATAAATAAAGGAATAACATATTATTTTTATTACAGATCTTTGTAGTAAGACTATAAAGTTTCAAAGTATCAAGAGTAAAAATGTAAGTACATTAAATACTAAGTAAGACATACCTAAATTAGTAGATAAAATTTGATATTAAAAACTTAACTAACTATTGTTGTTGCAATTTTTAAACAAATCTAGTAATAATTTACTGCTAGATGGCTGATTTTAATTTTTCATATGATGAATAAAAAAAGTCTCGTTCGTATGAACATCAAGTTATGATTTTAACATTACCAAAAGACAACTGACTAAATATGTTTCATACTAACAATAGGTGGAACATAACTGTTTCATTGATGAGCAACACTTTGTTTTTCAGATGTTCAAAAAAAATTTAAATATACTGGAAAAGAATATATGAAGATAAGAACAGACATGTAAGTATGTTTAAAGTTTTTCTAAGTTCTAATCTTAGTATAATACAATGTAGAGATAAATGTAATGGAACAAGAATAAATTATTTTACCCTACCAAAGCCGATGTATGCTATGATAAAACTAGCGTGCGTGACTCTGGTTAGGAACATTATCTCACTCCGTGTAAGACATTCGATTGTTATAATCATATGTCCAAGGGTTGAGTGGCACAAATTACATAAAATTTTTTAGAATACATTAAAGATTTTCCAAATCACCTTTAAAATGTTCGAATTGAATGGTTATATAACATTGCCATAATAAAAACTTTATTCTTTTCTCTTTGTTTACAGGTTTAAATAAAAAAAGAACAAAATGTCATGCCATTTAAGAATGAATTCAGTTTATGAATAAAAAAAATAGTACGCCTCAATAATGACGTGTAAGTACATAATTTGTAAGAAAATAAATAATTCTTGTCCCTTTTGCTCAAAATATGAATAAAAAATCATAAGGAAATTAATTAATCCACCATTTGATATATGATGATTTAAGTTATCGCCCCAGTCTGAACTAATATGTAGATTGATATTTTACTGATTATTTAAAATAGAAATATAATTTTTTTTTTTTTGGAAAATGTTTATTTACTGAGTGTTCATTTTTGTTTTAGTTCAAAAAGGGCCATGAATCAAGTATTTTGTCACAACTACACACATAAAATTTGCAGTTATACAGGTATGTAATAAAATTCTTTAAAAGAAAATATAAAAAAAATTGTTCTGCATTATTGTATTTGTAAAACAAAACCCATTTTTATGATGATATAATTATCGCCCCAGTCTGAAGTTAAATTGTTGATCCGATATACTGACTTACTTCTATGTTATTATAACATATTTACATTATTACTATTTTATTTATTACCTTATCTTGTTTCAGACTTGGCAGCAACACAACAGTATTATGTTTAAAGAGTTTTGTTCTTAGTGGACATTAGACTTGTAATGACATTGGAAATCAGGTATGGATAGAAATAATTTATCTACAAAATAAAATACATCCAAAGACAAATTTTAAAATGATGTTAATTTTATCGCCCCAGTCTGAACAAAACTGTTGATTGATACAACACTGATGGTTATAAAAAGATTAAATATTGTTTACTAAATAGTATTTTTATTAAAAGTGATTTTTTATTGTTTCAGGTTATAAATCAAATATTGAAGATATATTAAAAAGAAAATATTTTCTTAAGGTACCTTATCTGCACAATATGTTTAGATTATTTTTCCTATTTAACAAGTAGATAAGTTTTATTTAAATGATGGTATTTACAAGCATATATCATATAATTTTGATGAAAATTTAACAACTGACTAAATTGTAATTGCCTTTCAATGTAATAAACATTTATTCTTAAAAAATTAAAGTTTACTTTTCTTTTGCAGGTCAAAATAACAAAATAATAAGAACAGATGCAGATAAAATAAATGTTACAATTAAAGGTTAGCAATTTTTTTTATATTTTAATTTGGAAGAAATTCAGGTTTGAATTTTATTCTAAATATAGTACACAGAAGACCTTTTAAATATGTTGGAATTTTTCTTTCTATTATAAATTATTAATTTACTACGTTTAAAACTGTAAATGATGATAAATATAGTTATCCCTGTCTCACAAAGCCATGGGGAAAATATGGTATGGTAACAACTGAACATAATTATATTTTTATCTAACTAATACTTAACTGTGACAAAATGTAATAATTTTCTTTTTGTTGTTTCAGACCGTCAGCGAAGTCATATAATAACCACACATTAAGGTATGGCATTTGGAAATTTTTATCAACTTTTATAATTTAAATTTGTTAGAGAATTTACAAGCTACAATTAAAGATTTTCTTTACTTATCGTTGGTTTCCGAGAATAAAATGTTTTGAACAGAGATTTTGGTCTCAGAAACCCACTGTTAATCTTACTCCGTAAGCAAACATGTCAAACTATGACTTAATTAAAAATTTCATTCAATGTTAGTTTTTAAATTGAACTCCTTAATTTTTAATGATGATAAATATAGTTATCCCTGTCTCACAAAACCATGGGGAAAATATGGTATGGTAACAACTGAGAAAAAAATTAATTATAGTTGTCACTTAATTGTTTATTTATCAGCAACTAATTTACATATTCATTTACAGGTCTACATAACGCTTTAGAAAACTCATTCGCATAATGGGAGTGATTTAAAGGTAAATTTTTAGTTTCTTTATTTCTACCTCTACTTTCTTTTTCATTAATTGTCGTAAAATGTTTCATGATGAATAATTTGACAAGCATATATCTGCAATTACTGTGAAGAATAATTTGGACTGAAACTTTTAAATATTAAAAACAGGGATAATTTTGTACATAAAACATATTAACATATTTTTATTTTATTTTCAGATGCAAGTAAAAGTTCGTGAGTTACGATATTATAATAAAATTTTGCGCTATAAGTAATATTTGACAATTAAATAAATGTTTTGAAATATGTATTGTGTTTCATTCACCATTTTTTAAATAAATGTTAGTGTTCTATTTAATTTATGGGGTAAAAACCTTAATTAGGTCAGTGGAAGTGAAGATATCGCAAAATCTATTTTTACGTTATCATTTACCACTTCCACGCAAATGTTTGATATATAACACATAAACACTGCATCGTTACAATTATTTCGTCCAGTTCCACTATTTATCATTGAAATCATGGAGTACATTCTCGTAGTCGAATTTGAATCTCCAAGCGAGGTTACATCTAAAATTATGGTGAGTCAAAACTTGTTCAGTTGAGCAAGGACAAATTGCTTTTTACACATAAACCAAAATCAATTACAGAATCTACCACTAACGCATCTAATTCAACTGGAAAGTCATTTTCAAAACTTGAATGTTTTGTGCAAAAGAATACAAGATGAAATGTTCGAAGTAGATGTGGAAGGTGTTAAAATATTGAATGTTCTCGGAGGATCTTCATTCTGGTAAGAATAACATTCCTGCGAGCAACGCACATGTATTTCATCATCAACCGGCCCCTATCCCTACGGAGGTTCGACACATTATGTCCTATTCTTCCAGACATCTCCATCAGCCGTCATTTCTGTATTTACTCGCATCCTACGCATTACCTTTTTTAAATAGTCCATCGATACTTTCTTTGATCTTCCTCTACTTTTGTAGCCAAACAAATTCAATCTTATTACTTTCTTACTTATGCGATCATCATCTTTGCATATGTCCATACCACTGTAACCTTTTGCTAATCGATTTCTTCTTTCCATTCCCCGCCATCCCTATCAAAATTCCTCTAATACGCACACATTCTTAACTTTTTCCCTTCTTAATAAACCACATCCTTCTTCACATATGCTTCTCAGACACATCCTTTCATCCATAACCGAAAATGTTACGTATTTAATTACGACGGGTCTCACGACCGACTTGTAGATCTGTATGTCCTTTAAGCTTAAGTGGCATTTGATATGGAGTATTACTTCACATATTGTACAAAATAAATGACTTCAGTTACAGAGTGGTAAGCCAATCCATGGCAATTGAAGAAACAGTCATTGGAGGAGGAACAGTTAAAATCCAAAAAACTATTTGGACGTTGGGCAAAGAAAAAATAAGTGAATAATAAACACTTCAAAAATTTATTATACGTAAAGGGAAAACTTAAAAGTTTTCATTAATTTTCTAAGGTTAATTCACTTTGACAATCACTTGGTACTCGATCCGTAAATAATTCAGGAATCTGGAAAATTTTATAAATTAACGTTTAATACATTTTTAACATATACAAGCTTTGTATATGTTAATTTTTAAGGTTCACTGTTGTTTTTGTAAATCATTCATTTGTAAATATTACCTGTGGTGTATAGGCTTCTACTCTATCAAGCAATGTTTCAGAATACCCAGGTGAATAATACCTAAAACAGATTTATTTCCCTTGAAGTATTGGCCTAAAATAAGTAAAATGATAACTTATAATAACTATAAAATCAATAAAGCATACCTCACGATTTCTTCGGGGAAACAACTGTTTATAATATTGATATACTCCTTAAGAGATGTGCCGGGTACAGTATCGATTTCCTGTATTCTTTTTAATGCACCAGTTGATACAAATAACCTCCGGGCTCTTGCATCATTGGGTAATATCTAAAAAATCGCCACGTTGGTTACTTTGTGTTCGTTCTCATACGAATTAACGATTATTAAAACTTTTACATGGATTGGTGGCATTGATTCGAACTAAAAATAAAACTGTGTTATTTATTTAAGCTTTTCAGTTAATTATCAAATCCGTAAAATTTTTGAATTATTACGTATAGCGTATAAATATGGTATTTATTAAATTAAGTTTTAACGCATTTTTTTTTAGTAATTCATCTTTAATTTAAATTATTTAACATTTTGGAAATTAAGTGCGTAAAGTGTTCTGTGGTCTTTGTTGACTTTTGAGTGAGTTTGACTTTGACATCTGGATGTCAATATTTGAAAAGTCACAAAACAGAAAGATAACCTTAAAATTTAGACATAAATACTTTCATATTTCCATTGAATATATATTTCTTATAATTCGTTGGATTGTTTCACTTTAAATGAAAGTAAAACTTTAGAATAATGGGTAGCCGAGGCCGTGGCAGGGGAGGGGGACTCTCATTTACACATGAACAACTTCAATCTTTTGGTATAAATCGAGGTGAAAATACTGCAACAACTCTCGCTCCGCCACCATTATTTCCGAAACTTGAAGCGAAACCTTTGCCTCTCAACTGTGATGCGGCGACTGATTATATGGTGATTGTAAAGGATCAATTTATAGAGTATTTACATGAGTCGCCGGCGTATGTTAAACCGAATACACGTACAGATGGTATAGAACGTTATTCGGATAAATATAAGCAATTGGCACTGGATGCTAAGCGAGGTAAAGTACTGGATTGTGTTTGGGAAAACATGCCGGCGGAGTTAAGACCGCAAGCGAACAGAATTCGAATCACATCACGAAAGCGTAAACTGGACGATGCAAATGTATTGAGTAAAAAACTTCAAACTCTTGAAAAGAAAGAGACTTTGGATGAAAACAATGCGACAGAAAATAAGGATGAGAATACTGTCAAAAAAGAGAATGAGAATGAAGATGACGAAGAGTTGGAGGACGAAGAGGAGCAGGAATATGAAATTGATGAAGGCACAGACTATGCCAACAATTACTTTGACAACGGAGAAGATTATGATGAGGAAGATGACAATCTTGATGATGGGCCTGTTTATTAATAATGCAGTGGTTTTTACTACTTATTATAACCTGTGATAAATATATTTTACCTAGTTTGTATTACAATAAAGGCTTTTTAATGTAAACCTGAGACAAATATCCTTTGTCAATCATTAACCCATATAATTTTAAGTACATATACTAAAAGTATTCGTAATATCATTTAACATGAGTGGGATTAAGCAAGAATATTGCAAGATTCTACAGAATGAATAGTGGTTAAACATGAATAATAGCAATATATAGACATTACCTTAGCATACTGTGCCAATACATATTTGAGGACACAAGCAGGTGCTGCATGCAGTAGAGGCTCCAGTGCTGGTCTGTGCAGGCAGCACTGTAATGCCTGCTTTAGACAACATAATGCTCTGGCACGCACCTCTCCTGACGACTTTGGGTTTGTATACAGCTAAAAAAACATTGTATAATTTATAATAATTCTATTACATATAATAGACATGTATTTTCTTTATTATCTAGGTACATTTGTGTAGATAACACTAATGAAACTTACTACTTTAATCAAATGTTTACTTTGTAATATATTAAACATATATCACCTGCAATAATCTTGGAAAGGCATTCGCCACAGCAACTGCTAGACTATGTTGTGGGGAGTGTTTAGCAATGTGGCCCAGAGTCCATGAGGCAGCACAAACTTCTGCTTCTTCTGCCTCATCATTCTGTAGAATTTCCACTAAAGCTGGAATTGCCTGGACAAATAAACATGAGATTTTACATTATATTACACCTATGATGGCCAAGGTTACAATAATTTTATGCCAATTTTATGACAAAACTATGCCAAGATGATGTAATAGATTAAAATATCTATGACTTTTTGTTGCTATTGATTTCATTGCATTGACATCTATCAAGTTACACCTTGAAGAGAATAGTATATCATACCTTAGCTTCGATAACAGCCATGGCGAGCTGGTCGGACTGTCCGGCGATGAAACCAAGCGCCATGCAGGCGGGCACGCGCGCGCCTCCGCCGTTCTCCGACAGCAACTCTACCAGCGGCCCACATCCGCCCGTGTTCACTACCAGTTGGGCCAACTGAGATACAAAGAAATCTGTTTATTCGAAAAAACATAACTGAATTTTTTTCACTTATTGCGTTTTGACAATTCTTTTGCCAGCTCTATTCGCGAAATCGCCTATAATTTCCTCCCTGTGCATTCTTTTCTAAAGATATATTATTTTTTAAAAGAATGTAGCGACATATACTTTATATGGATGGCTGTTTCTCCTCAAGTATACTACTGATTGTCCCTTTATCCAAGTGAGATTAACAGGTTTTTACCTGTTCTTACCTCAGAATCTACACTAAGGGAATTCTTAAGTATCCCTTAAACTACTCGGAGTGCGGCAGATAGTATAGTATTGGTGGTGATGTTTTACATCGATGGAGTGTCGCACAATGTCGCGCAGCAAACAGGCGGCGGCGCGGCGCACGGGCGCAGCGTGGTGTGCGGCGTGCAGCAGCGCCGGCGGCAGCGCACCGCCCGCCACCGTCGCCTCCGCCAGCTCCACACGCGCGCTCGCCACCGCGCTCAGCGCGCACAGCGTGCTGCGCTACACACGTCACACGCAATTGCTCATGCTATATACAACACTAGCTGTTGCCCGCGACATCGTCCGCGCGGGATTTTTTAAAAAAATATTCAAGAGTTATGATATGACAATTTATATAGTGTCCCGCTCATTCATATTTGTAATGTATTATACGTAACCACATGATACAAATTATATTGCTAATTTAATTTAAATTAACACAAAACTTATGGCAAGTATAAATGTAAAAAAGTGCTACGATAAAAATTTACCTTTAATTTAGGATCCTGATTATCAAGACCTCGTACCAGGTGACAGATGGACCCCGCATCAACGACGGCTTCGGGCTTGTGCTTCGCAAGATCCACGAGAGCGCCTGCTGTGATCTGTATAGCAATATTACAATGTTATACGCATCAAACTATCAACATGACTTAACGTATCACGAACCTTACCGAGGCATAATTTTTGCACTAATTAATTACCTTAAGGTACCTTACTTAAAAACTTGTAAGGTAACATTTTCTTTCTTGTCGCTTCCCGACTTCCCGTGCATTCTTTTAACGTTGATCATTTGATGCAACGTGTAATTCAAAATATGTAGTACCTGTTTAAGACTTATTTCGGGTTCTTGGAAGGCCAGCACGAGTAGGGGCAGAGTGCCAGCGTCAACCACTTTTCCCGCGAGCAACTCGCTGTGTTTCCCTATGTAACCCAACGCCCACGCCGCGTTCTCTTTCACCTACGCCACAACTTTATTTTATAATCTAGTTGCCACACTCGATATGGGACACATATTTATCAATAAAGAATTAAGATAGTGGTTTGAGAGTCACTTGAAGAAATTAAAGTGTCTCCATTGGAGTACTCACTACTTGAATGTAAGTCGGGTTTTATTTTTTCGATTCTACCCTACTAGTGATAGGGGTGGGAGGTTACAATTAGCATGCTAAAAACGATTGGCGATTTCTGTCTGAGTATTCTATAGCTACTTTGATTGAATGTAAAAGCTGTGAGAGACAAGAGAGTTTTATACAGAACACATAATTTACCTGTGTATCGAAGTCTTCCATACATGCTACGATATGTTCTAAAGTTCCAAATCTTACTATCATAGATGCTAGTTCTTCATTATGTCTAGAATTGTACAAATAAAATGTAATATGCAAGCTAAAGTATTACACTATCAATTGCAAAAATAAAAACTTACTTTGCAATCGCCCTTATTAAATATAAAGCTGATCGTTTGTAGTACACCTGAAATTAAACTTCCTTTTATTGAATTATCATCGTTCAGCTTTTAAAATGTCTTCCTTTCAAGTATCAAAATTACGTCATGTTATTCTAAGCGTGTCTATAAATAACACAATAGATGAATTGGTTTAAAAAATATTTACATTAAATTTATGTAGATTTTCCAGCGTGGTGGTAAGTATGCCGCCGTCCAGCATCTGTCGCGCCACCGCCTCATCGTGTTCAGCCAGCCGCGCGGCTGCAACCACCGCGCACTGCCGCACCGTGCTGCACGCGTCCGACACCAGGGGGCGTAGCAACTCTAATGTACCATAAAGCTTAGAATTTTTTGTTTTAACGCTGCTGTTTTTATTTAAAGCCAGTACAATGATTTATAAAATACCCACAAACGCCCATTTAATCCAAGACGTCTAGGTATTAAACTATAAGAGCTTTGGTATTGATTTAAAAACTTTCTTGAAAACAAACACACCATACAAAATTATCCCTAGCTAATTAGAGATGTACTCACCAAGTACTCCAGCACTATCAAGGCACTTCACATTAGTGGATCTTGTGGCCAAATCTGCTATAGCCTGGGCAAAAGTTAGCCGAGCTTTTTGGTATGTGTCGAATACTGGAAGATTTGTAATAGTAAATAGAACGAGGATGCGTAGTATTGAAGCAGTCATGAAAAAGTAGTCTCGATAACCTGCCAGTGAAACTTCAGTTAAACGCCGTTCATTCATGAGGTGACTAAGCTTGTAGGGTGATAGGGATGTGCATGAACATTATGAAATGTAAAGTTTTGGTTTTTATAAAATAACAATACCTACCATTTAAAAAATTATAATTATTATACATTAGCTGGGTTGAAACTAGTTTTGTATTTCGTTCAATGTCAAATCCTTTCGTTGTAGTGCACAATTCAAAGGTTTTTTTTATCGTACATAACTTTACGAATCAATGTTACTCGACGACCGGTACTATAATTTGGAGGCGAACTACCTAAGCATACGGATACCGATATTTTTTTTTATCTTATCTTAATAAGTTACATTGTGTCTAAGATTGGAATTACTCTTACAACAGGACATTGAGCAAAAATGCGTTAGTAAAGAAGATTTTGTTTTTAAATTTAATTTAGCTGTTTTTGTCTTGTACATAAGAGGTGGACTGGACTGCCAAAACATCTAATGCAAAAGCATATTGCTATCTTAATTTGTTCAAACAGAATGAGGGAGATAACAACATCGACAATCTTGCAAGAGTGTACCATCAGTAAACCCACGTTAAGAACTACTGCTGACTACAGTTACAAATGTATAAACAATTTAATATTAAAGATGGATTTTCCGTGTTTGTGTTGCACGGATAGTAACTCGTTTCATGTCACATTCATTAATTTTAAAGTAACGTTGGTCATAGCAATAAAACATTTCTTCGTCTAAAATGTCTAATACTTTACTACTAATTCACACAGTTCCTGATGGTAGTCAAATTTATTTATCTACAAGTAAGTTTTTAATATACCTAGTTGTATGTTTTTCGGACTGCTCATAGAATGGCTCATGGCATTAAATTCTCGAAACACTTGAATCAACAAAAATCTTGTGAATCTTCTTTAATAAAAAATTATATTTTCGAATATGACAGAAAACCATATGGCACCTTGATTTTTAAAATGACACTGTCATTTGTCATCGACAGTTTATTTAGTTTTTTAATTATTTTGCAAATGCTCAAAAACGACCTATGAAAAATTTGTCACATTATCTGTGTGCGTTAAAGTTTTAGAAGTGAAAAATCGAAGTAAATTTTTAAGCGAGCTCTTAGCCTAACAATTAAAAGTACCTAACCGTTACTTGGTTCGCGACTACCTGACTTTGTAGAATAGTGATTTTGCGTAGATAAGTGAAGCATCGAAACTATATAATCATAGTTGTGTTCTTATTGAATATAACATAAATCTAAGTGAACGTCTAGTTAAATTCAGCATTAAGTACTGAACATTACATGCGTAATTTAAATGTACAACAGCACGCTCATCTAGATACTGGGTAGTGATGCGGGCGCAGGCGCAGGCTGTGCAAGAGCCGTGAAGGCCGTGTGACGAGCGGCGCGGGCGCACGTCATGACACACACACGCGGACAGAGCCCAGCCCCGCCGCCCGCGCCTCGCACCCCGCCGGCCGCCTGCCTACCTGGCAAAGTTCACTCACATACGAGTACCTGTAGCATAGCGGAGGCGACCGCGTGCCAACATACTTCCTTGTATTTAACACCGCCATTGTTAAAATGATATCTGTCATTCTCAGATGATTTGTGCATTTAACTGGTGTAAACTCTAAATAAGAATTTCGTAAATATGCCGTACATCATGATAATGGGCAGCCTCAGTGCTCAGCATCTATCGAAGGATGAAGGTGCAACTGTGTATGGATTAAAAAGTGATGAACGAGCCACTTTAGTTCGGGTAATTTTTTTGTTATATATTTTTAAGCACATATCACCTAAGTTTGTTTTGTATACTTAGAAATTATATTGCGGTCATACATATAACGAAGGAATGAATATAATTGCATATGTAAAACAACCATGATAAGGAAAAGTAAACGTTGAATTTATATTATTTTTTGCTAGACTGAACATTATTTGAAAGGCTAGTAACGAAACTTGCAATTTACATCTACATGTTTATATTGTATTTAACTAAGTATGCCGTACATAGGTTTATTACCTAAAATAAAACTAGTGGATACTGTATATAAATAAATAATATATTTATTTGTCTAACCTTTCAGGAGTTGAACTCGTCCTTTGGTATGGCGGTAGCGACATCATCAGACTTGGAGCGTACAGTACGTGTAACCCAAAAGGGACTGACTTTAATGGTCGTGAACCGTCTCCACGGTCTGTTCGGATACGACGTGGTGTCCCATGCTATGGCCATGACGAACGCCAATCGGGAACTCATCTCGTTCACCATGTATAAGAAGTCGAGCCCCAACTCACACGGGCATGGCCACAGCCATTCCTCACACAAGCAGCATTCCCATAGCAGTGTTGTCACCCTATAATCTATTTTGTAAGTGGATATAGAATGACGACACACTTGTATTATATATTGCCATCCCTTTCATTCTCTTTAAGAAAACAGAGACTGCACATGTGTTACTGCACTCGAAAACTACGGTATAATCTGTTAATGTTATTACGTTTATTTGGCACTATAAGTTTCTAGTACTAAAATATCTTTACAATAAAATATTGTTTTTCCTCCCATTGCAAAACAGAGACACCTTATGTGTTTGTACGAATGTACAAATTCGCGGTTACCTATTACAGTTAAAACAGGAATATCATAAAATGTCATCTAAATTGGTAAACTTGTAAATTATAATGGAATCTCTTTATTATAAAACTTTTATAAGGCTTTATGTGATTAATTGCTATTAATAGTATAGGAGACCGTGGTAGGTCGACCTTCACCCATCTGATAAAAAATGAAACATGTTTTTTATCAAATATAATTAATTAAAAAATAGTCCCATGGTAATTAAATAGGTGAAGGTCGATCTGCCATTAACTCTTAGACTATTATTTTTAGTAATAAGTTATTTTCTTAATATAAATTTTAAATCTGACAAGTGACAAAACTTTAATTTCAATAAAAAATAAATGATTTTTTGGAAGTGATAAAAAACAGGGTTTTAAAAATGAAACATTTCATAAATTGTTGTTTGGAATTGTTTTGTAATACAATAAAAAGTGCTTTAATAAAAACTAATAATCGATTTTATCAGTCTTAATTTTATTACCATCGGATATTACTGTTTTTAATTTATATAAAACTATTCAACTATACTGTATATATAGACTAGATTTAAATTATAAATAAACGCAAATTAAACGGTCATTGCTTTTTTAATATAAAAAAAAAAACAAAAAAGAACTGTCAACATTCTTATAAATACGAGTATATCAACAACATGACAAATCGGAACGTTAAATTCGTAAGCAAAGCTATAATTAAAACGCCCATACAAAAAAGATCGTTGAAAATATAATTAGTTTTAAATTGCTGCAATATTGCCATTCTATTCTTAACATCGATCAACGAATTACTAGTTTAAGAAAAAAAAATCGCTTAAAAATGCTTATAATACTTGAAAAAGTACTTCTTAAACTTTAACTGTGACCGAATAAAATGTCACTGAGGTAGACTGATTAACGACCAGGAATACCAAAATGGACATTTATTATAAAGTTTGTATTAAATATTTTCATGTTTATAAATGGTAAATATGGTAAGTTTTCATTGTTGCATCATTTGTATAACAACAAATTTGCCATCTTCCATATTCTACAGTTACAGATCAAGTTATATGAAAACATGGAACAAATTACTTTCTGGAAATCTTTTGTCTTTCCGCTGCCAATTTCTTTAAAGCAGCAGCATACTGCCTTTGTATTTCTATGAGCCTTGTGTACTCATTATGTAAAGTTGCTTTTCGAGCTTTTTCGCTGTTGAATTTCTCCTCAACTTTCTTCACAGTTTGATTTACCCAATCGACTATTGATTCAAATTGCGTCATAAATTCCTCCCTCTTTCTAGTAGATGACATCGCCCTGTGGGAATATTAAATGTTGAATTTTAAATTAGAAATATCTTAACAGTATCGACCGGCAAAACTACCGTGGACATATTATGATAATACACTTACTCTTCATAATTATCTAATATAGAATTGAGTAGGCTCAATTCCTTCGATGTATAAAGTTTAACTTCATACAGGGTGTTGTAAAATATAAAATACTGCTTAGTTTCTTTATGCTTCGATGCAACTGTAATAAACAAAAAGAAAATTATTGTTGTTAATAAATAACAATTATTAAATACTCATCAGTTTGAAATTACACTTAATTAAATATTATTGAAATGTCACAAAAAAAAAGAAATAAATAAGTACGTAATTATATTTTAACTCTATAAAGGTAATTATAAATATAATAAAATGACGTTACATACCTTGATTATAAAGTTCGACAAATCTCTTTTCGTATTGCAACAATTCCGCCGTTCCCGGTATTTCATCAATAGCCACAGTGTACCTAAGTATTTGTCTATTCAACTTGCCCAGCTCTAACCTAGTACTCGCAATGAAACTTTTTAATTTCCCTTCTCTTTCTTGAAATTCTTTCAATTCAGCAGGAGTTAAGGGCTTTTCTTCAACTTCTGCTTTAGGATCCTTGGCATTCCTACAAAAATGTAAATAGGCAAAGATTATGGATTTTCACTATAGATATTCAATTGATACTTCGGAATCATTTCTCTGTAATTTTCATAATCTTTGACGCAAATACTTCCGTTTATAATAACCTTCAAATCTTGTTAAATTTTACCTTAATTCTTCTTCTAATTTCTTGTGCTGCATATCTCTATGTTGTATTATTTTCAATAATTCGTTCCTTTCCTTTGCAAGATCCTTTAGAGATGCATAAAACTCTTTGACATTTTTATCACTGAAAAGAAAAATAATTTTTTAAAGCCATATTACTGTTAACTTTAGTACGTGAAATTCGCATTGGCTTTGAACATGATAAAAAAAGTATCCAAAATATATTTTAGCTTAAAGAATAGCAGACGCGAGATTATCATATAAATTTTTCTTTGCATACCTATGGTTATCAGACTTCATTAAATTTTGTGTAATTTTTTTTAACTTGGACATTGTTTTTGTGTATTGTTGCTTAGCATCTTGCATTCTCTGTTCATGTTTTTTCTTTATAGTTTCCACATCTTTCTCCATTTTGTCTATACTGTCCGTTAATGTAGTTATATCTTGAGAATATTTAATTTTTTCAGTCTCTTCTAGTTCTTTAGGAATGTCTCCCGTTAACTCGGAATGTAAAACTACATAGTGTATCTTTGTATCTGCAGATACATTATTACCTTCAATATTCAAATGTCTATCAGTCTGTAAATGAAAAATGCTTACTGTGAATTTCACTACCGAACGAATGCACAAAAATATATTGTTACTGTTCTTTTCAAAGCGAATAAGAGGGACGACAATATGTTTTTGTACACATGTTTCAGCTGAGAACAATAATAATTTGTTTTAATACCATACCTCAGTGGTAACTTCTGATGGATCAGCCAAAGTCTTCTCATAGTCATACTGCAAAAAAAGTACCATAATGCAATACAAACATAACTTTTTTTTTATAAGATAAGGAGCAAGTAAGTATCAGATCGCCTAATATTCATTAATTCTATGTCCTCAGACATCCACAACACCAGAGGAACCACAGAGCTATTGCCCGGCCTTCATGTAAATTGTCATTTAGCATATAAAATTACAGTCTTTAAGGTTTTATAGTTAATCATGTCCCTGTTCTTATCCCACTCACACCAGATGGTTCACCAAGTTTGCTTGCCCCAGAACAATTTATCTTCCATCATTTCAAATATCCATCCATCAATTCACCCATCTCTTACTAGGCCTTTTAAAAATTAATATGAAACTCATTTTACTGCTTTTAGTTGAAAATAATATAAAAAAAATTAAATACTTACCAAGAAATCAAGATCTTCATCTCTCTGGGAATCATCATGATTGTTAGTTACATGCATCAACATTCGCTGATCATATTCTGACAGAACTGCATTCACTTGTTCCAGCTCATTTGTTGGAAATCCACCTTTTCTCTTTCTAACCCTACATGGTTTGTATAAATCCTGCAATGTTAATGAATAATCTTACTTCAATTTTATTATGAGATACAAATTATAATATATATATGTATATTTACCTGTACTGTAGAAATATTATGTAAAAGTTTTTCCTTTTGCAAATAGTAATTTCTGTCTGATTCAAATATATGATCCTTGTCATACTGCATTACAGCAAACTTTCTTAACTCATCTTCCTTAACTTCTCTAAATTCACTTGAATATTTAATGAGCCATTGTATGAGAGGATAAATATTTATAAAATCCAAACCTTGTATCTGATGAGGTTCTATTATGTAAGGGCACTTCATGGTTGGCAAAATTTTTACAATCTTTTCAGTCAAAGCACTGGAATATAAAATGTTTTATTATGTTCATATTGTTCTGTTAGATTAATTGGTTTTCCAATTGAACTATTGCTTGTAAACCATGGGCCTTTTAGTTTCAGAAATGTAGTTGAATAAAATAATATTATGTACTTGTGTATACAAGAACATAAACAATACAATAACTTCTAATTTTTATATTTAAAAGCAGGTTTTCACTTACATTTTTTTACCAATTGTTAGATTTTCTTCAAATGAAAGGCTTACGTCGACATCAATATCGCATAGTTCAATACACCATGATAGACCTCCCACAATTTTATCGAAAGCAGAAAGTCCCTGCAGTTGAGCACGATAATACCCAGCTGCGACCAGCGCATCACATATTTCGTGCCATTTAACAATTTGCTCTGCATCTTCACGAACTTCAACCTAAATTATTAATGAACAATGAATTAGTTAAGTTTAAAACATAAATAAAACGAGATCTAGTAATTAAACTCACCTTTTTGCCCTCCTTATCTACACCACTGTAAATGTTAATAAGTGGTTTACTTCGGGTAAAAATATTTTTCTGCTTTGCTGCCATTATTTCCTAATTTTTGTTTCATTTATAGCATTAAATAAATTTTGGGATCGTATTAAAATACAAGTTGTAAATGAAAACTTGTTGTTTGATCAATTGTCAAAAACATTATAGACATTGACATCTTAACAATGTTTTTAAAAATTTTAGTTCTGGTCCAGTCAAGTCAATCCAACAATACAGTGTTAGATACTGGTGTGTGCTAGGATGTATGGGATATTACATCTGTGGTCGCACTATTTCTCTATTAAAAACTGTCACTGTCAATGTCAAACAAACAAATCTAATGTCACTGATGAAATTCGGACTGGATTCATATTTTTGCTCTGAATTTTATGCTTTCAAAGATTTTATTTTAAAAATCTAAGGATAAAAACAGCAATCCTTTCGGTGCAAATACTCATTCCACATAATTACGTCATGAACAAACTACAAAGAGTCTTTTGTTGTAAGTAAAATAACCATTTAATTTTAAAGTAATTTATTGTACTTCCATGTTCCGTGCTACTAAAACAATATTTTCATTATCAAAAACAAAGATATATAAAGTATAAATTTTAATAGTGTGGCGTTATAATGATAGTCTGGTCAATGTAGTTGTATCTAGTTGTCGGTAATGCTTACTGCTCGTATTGAAAATCGACTAAAATTTTGTTGTTCTGTTCGTAATATTGTAACTTGTGCAATAGTGTGTTAGCTTGTATTTTATTTAAACTTATTTTGCAAACATATTTTGTGACTTTTATATATTTAAATTTTTTGAAATGTAATTTTAAATCAGGTACAGGCCCTCAAAACAAACTAATGAAAATTATAGTGGTTTTACATTGATATGATTATAGAGCTTGTCAATGGGACATGGAAGTAAAATTTATGACTAATGTGCAATGATTTATTATGAGCAATCTACAATTGAGGAAATTCATTTCAGAGTTCATTGGATAGTATTGACTCTGACAATTATTAACTATGGAAAATAATATTGATGTAGTTGATGAGATATCATCATTGCTGGATTCTGAAAAGTACAAAGAAGCCCTAAGTTTACCAAATAATGTGAAATTTGCACAAAGTTTTAAAGAAAATTGTTGGGATTTGATATCAATAATAATTAATAAGGTGCATGATGACACAATTATTTTAAAGCCTTCATTGCATGGGGCATGTGAACAACTACTAAACCTTATAGTTGAAAAGGCAACTCCCGAAGAAACTCTGTTGGAATTCATTGAACAAGTGGAAGTGGCCAAAAATGATGCTCAATTTAGTATTATTTTAACGCCATTACAACAACTTCTTGAAAGATTAAAAGCAAAACGTGGGCGATCGTTAGAATGGTGCCTCAATTCTATCTCCACTTACATTGAAACTATTCCTACCCCAGAATACTTTTTAGAACAAAAAGAGCGTTTGTTAATGGATTGTGATAATAATATCAGAAGAGTTGTGAAAGTGTATTCATTGATTCCACCATTTTACAAACCTTTTATTGCTGAGCTGAAAAGGGAAGATAATGTAAAAGTCAAACAAACAATATGTGCTTTTCTTGTCAGCCTTTTGGGAAAACCAATTATTTATATTGATTTGGATCCGGATTCAAATGCTCAAAGTGAAGCCAGGCAAACTTGTTCAACTATAATAGATGATATTTGCTCATTGGAAAAGAATGTTCTCAAATTTTTATTCTATATTGAAGAATGTAGTAAAGAGAAGAAAATATCCAGATTAAATGAAGATTCGGGAGAAGAATTATCAGCTTATGAAAATAAAGACAAAATTAATATGACTTCACTTGCCGGGTTGTTTTATGTTGTATTCTCTGGCCATTTCAACATAATGGATAATGCAATTCCACAAGTTTATAGTATTGAATATATTGTTCATACTAGTCTTCTCGCTGTAAATAATCTACTGTGTAACACAGAGTATGGCCCACTAAGTAAAGCTTTGTCGTTATGCAAAGCACTTTTAAATCGTCTACCAAATATTGTTACTTATGATGTGCTATCAATACCCGTGCATTTCAACTTATTAAAGGGTTTAGTGAATGTTGCTATTTATTCTAATTATGTAGTTATACGTAAAACTGCAGTTAATTTGATAAGTGTACATGTAAATAAATTTCAATACAAAGGAAGATGTTTGCTTATAAAGTACATATTTGAAATTGCAAATCATTCTGGTATGATTGGTTATGCAATAACATTGTACAAGAATTCAATTAATGAGGCATTCAAAAATCCTGTGTTAGATGAATGTTTCACTGGTGATCAGCTTATGTATATGGTCAGAAAGATCTGTCATCTGCCTCATGGAGCACAATCTGATTTAGTAGAATTAGCTGATCAAATAATAACCGCATTAAACTTTTTAAGATATCTCATTTTAAAGGATACTTTAAATCAAAGTGGTATTAAGAACAATTTTTCATATATCGAAAGTGATTATTTAGAAAATTTAAGAACCGGTTTAAATTTATCTAAGGCACATTATGAACAGAAATTAAAAGAAATTGAAAACAAGAATTATACACAACAAGGAGTTGATGTATCTATAAATGTTGGTGGCAACACTTTGGATAATATACCCATAGAAAATAAGAGGGAAATATTGCATTCAGCACTTAATGCTTTTCATTTGATTGAGGGTCTTGTAGCTAGATTATCTGAGTGTATAAATATTTCTAAAACAAGTGTAAATGTTTGATAATAAAAATATCTGATTACGAAATAAAAGTTAATAATGTGAATTTGTTTTTTCTTAATCAATTATGTATAAATGCAATCTCTATATTGACTTTTTCTTTAACAGCTTTGAGAAAAAGCAGCAGAGCTATGCTGCCTCTCACAACAATTTCAATAAATAACCATCAAAGAATTATTAGAACCTATTGTCAAAAAAGTGAAATTCAAAAAGGGGAAATAGTATCAACATTGCCACCAGAACAAGATGAACAACAGTATGAACAAAATGTTAAGGATAGTATATTATCAAAAGCTCTAGATTTTGTACCTAAATTTGGATGGTCTGTTGAATCATTGAGTCATGGTGCCGAAGCTGCAGGCTACCCGGGTATAACACATGGCTTATTTCCTAATGGCGGTGGAGATCTTGTACATTATTTTAATGTTAAATGTAATGAAGAGTTAGTAGAAAAAATGAAATCAGTAAGTAGTTTGTTAAAATGACATTTTTTTTAAATTGTGATTTACTAACACATCTCTTATAAACAGTGGCCTAAGGAAGATTTGAAGAATATGAAAGTACCAGTGCAGCTGATTGAAAATGCTATTATGACCAGACTCTTAATGATACAACCATATAAGTAAGTTTGTAAATATTTGTCTAAGAAACAAATGTATGTCATATAAAACCTATAGTCATTTTGATTATTTGTTTTAGGAGTACTTGGCCAAAGGCAATGGCAATACAAGCTCTGCCTAATAATGTTCCAAATTCTTTAGCAACATTACTTTCACTTGTTGATGATATTTGCTATCATTCAGGAGACCGGAGTGTAGATGTAAGTTTTAATTTAGCACTGATGTAAAACATAAATAGATTACAATATTAATAGACCTAATATAATTCATACATCCAAATCGAGTTACACATTGAGTTGAATTCATTCTCTAAGTTGAATTTTCCTACTTTTCTTTTTTTAGTTCAACTGGTACATTAGAAGAGTGGGACTTGCTGGAATATACAAAGCATCGGAACTATTCTATTTGACAGATAATAGTCAAGACGCTACTGGTACAAGAAACTTTGTCAAATCAAGAATTAGTGATGCTGAATTAATTCAAACAGCACTTAACATGAATCCTGTCTCTGTTGCCCCTCAAACACTAACTGCGGCATTTGTTACGGTAAGTCAACCAACATTTATACAATTGTTATCATTATTTACTAAAAATACTATGTTATATATTAAGCATGTTTTACCAGTGGAAACCTATAGTAATATTATACTTATAGTATTACATTTATTAAATTATGATTTCAGGCTAAAAATATGCTGGGACTGAACACATTGAAGTAATAGTAATACAGCCACTATTAGGAAACAACAATGACAGTATTCTTTTATTTTTGTTAAATAAATAACAGTTTTTGAATTTCGTTTATGCATTTTTTTATTTCAATATATTTAATAATTAGAAACAGTATAACATGAATCACAGTACATGGTTTTTACATTATTTATTAATATATTTATTTAGCCTTTGTAAAGATTTTATAAACAATACAGATATGTTCTTTATTGGTAAATAGACTTACAATACAAAAAGGACAAAGTATAAGGCACAAATTTCAAGGACTATGTTTGGACAATATAATCACTTCCCAAAGACACATATGTAATAAGATTTGGAGGTAATGGTAACTTTTGCCAAACATTTGTATTAACTGTTTGACGAATAACAAATCTGCAGATCATTTGTAAGGAGTCTAGCCTCGCAAATCTGGAAACAAGTAATAAATATATAAACCAGTACATTTAAAATTAAAACATTTTCATTATTTTTAGACCCATTAAGTTAAAAATGAAATTGATAATCACCTATTTAAAGGTCTTGCCAATTTGACAGGCATTTCAAACAAATTGGACTTGACATCCACCGTAGCACAATGTTCCGATATTCTATTAGCTGGTACAAATGTTTCATTGTTTAAAGAGAATAGACCATTGGCATGTCGCAGGCGGGCATGTAGAGTTCGGCCAACACAACGAAATGATACACAAAGTATATGTCTTGAGTCATAAGAATCTCTTACAAGGAAAACATTATCATGTTGACCAGCTAAAAGTTCCTCTGCTTCACTGGAAGTGATTCCACCCCAATACCAGCCATGTCTGAAATTTAGTAACATTTATTGGAATAAACTAATATTGACCATTTATTAAGCTTTCATTATAAGTTTTAAGGAGTACAGCAGCCTCAAATATTAATGGCAATAATATGACAATTTCCTTTTTACACATTACACTTAATAGATTACATTTTAGCAATTTTACTTTTATATACATGTGATTAGTAATGTTGTATTGTATATTAATAGAAAACTTACTTAGACAGCTGACAATATATTGCACATGTCTCCATAGATGCATGTTGATGGTGTCCTCTAAGAACTGAATGACCCTCTGAATGTTGACATTTTATTGTAATTTTGTCGGAGCTACTATCTTTTTTGATGTCATAACATGGATTAGATACTGTTCGTTTGTCAGTGGATGTGGATGGGTCGGATGTTTTGTTAAAGCTACAAATATATTCACCACCATTGTTCTTATTGCTAAAGTATCTTTGCAATGATCTGACACTACCCGTCATAAAAAATTTGTTTTTCCAAAACTTAACGAATTTATTTGTATTCAAACTTGTTTTGCGATCTGGAAGAACCACGCAATTCACTATATCTGTATTATTAAAGTCCCTCTTACTGTCAATGCTTCGTTGCAAATGTTTACATTCCATTGGTTTGAGCCACTTTCGAAGACAACCAGACGCAAGCCATTTTCGTCGGTTGCAATTTGTACATCGTTCATAGTTTTTGTTCATCTTCAAGAAAATATTAGAGGTATATAACCATGTTAGATGTTATTTATGTGTTTATATTTTATACACAAGATCGCAGAATAGAAGTTTAATCTTTCAAAATAAGATCAAATTTTTTACAGCAATGTTGCCAGGTGCCACTATTCAATTGCTAACCAACTCTAAAGCTTTTACGAAGTGAAAAGGGTCAATTGTGTTTTAAACTTAAAAGTTAGATAAATTAAGGATATTATCAGATGTATAAACATGAATTAACAAAGCAGATTTGGTGCCTAGAGTATAATAGGAGTATTACCGCGGGTTATTCCTTATACATCGAGAGGAAGAAAAAATTACCAAAGTAAACAAAATAGCGTGTAATCTGTGCATTAGTTTTACTGCTGTCAGTCATGTCTCATGTCCGTGAACTTTGGATCTATGGTTACTTTATCTCTATATACTCTTTGGTGGTGTGGTGCTGTGGATGGATGAAGTGTTATGGTGCATTTCAGATTTCAGTCAATAATGGATATGTTTTTTATTTTATTAAATCATTGGTCAGTTTCTATTTCTTTTTGTGATATGATAATATCCGTTTAAAATTAATTAAACGTGTGATGGTGTGGTGAATATGGATACAGTATTTATTGATACTACTTAAATTTTATTGAAGTAATGACATTAAAGAAAAGTACAAAAATGTCAACAAAATCACATATAACTACAGAATTAAGCGGTAAGTATCATTAAAAGTAAAAAAGTAAATAAGAGTACAAAATATTAGCACGCGCATTACCATTTCTATCGTGAATTTATAAAATCATAAATATGTGTTTTTTCTTTTGTAGACAGCATAAGTAATGTTTTGGGAAAAAATGTAAAAATACTCTATAAATCTTTAATTCGTATGGAATCGAGAGGCGACAAGGTGGATAACAGGGTCCTTGTAAGTATTATGATATAAATCTTTTACTTCTCATGCATTACAAAAACAATAAAATAAAACAAATTGCTTTTAAAAATTACTGTTAATTAGTATAATCGGATTGACTCTACGGGTATAATATCATTTAAATAAAAATTTGACATTAGATAAATAATAACAAAAATTAAATTAACACCTTATCATTGCAAATAATGTATTTCCATTAGATAATGTTTACATTTTAAGTTTCAGAAGATTGTAATGTGAGTTTGGATGTAGTGGAATGAGTCACATAGGTGTGTCACATAATCTGTGTAATGTAAACCCAGTTGTGTGTGTATCTTGTAACAGCAACACCCATTAGAATGCTTTTATGATAACAATTGATAGTTGTGGGTTGTTATTTCAACTAGATCTATAGATTAGTTTGGTATTTTGTATATACATATTTCTCATACTATATAAGATTTATTGAATAAAGAAATTGTAAGATTGCCACCAAATAACATTTTACTAAAATAATAATTTAATTATTTCACTAGTATGTTTAAGTTTAAATACAACTACTTTTTACAGTTTTGCTTGAATGGGATAGCTTTTTAAACAATGTATTATTTGTTACCTTATTACACATCAAAATCAGTGCAGCTGTTTACCTGGCATGAACACAGGTTTGCAGAAACACAGAATTAACTGAAAATACAATTTTGAAATTTTCATGAAATATGTTAATTATATTAAATACATATTCTCCAATTTAATAAACAAAGAAAAAGTATTTAGATTATGGAAAAACATGGCTAACAACACAACAATACACATTAGTAAGAGTAAATAGTAGTGATTATTTGTTTGGTAAATAAGGCATTGTTGAAAGTATATAACCAACAAGTTGCTTTTTGCTTATGTAAATGAGTCTAATAATAAAGCATACTAAAACATACTTATAAAACACTAGCAGTTGCAGTTGAATTAAAAAGATCTAGTTAGAAATCTAGCATAATATGTCACTCAGGGAAAGTGTATCAGAGGTTCCTAACAGTGAAAAGCTTTTTTGAATCGGTTCAGTATCTTAGGAGCCTATTCAAAGCAAGCAAACTATCAAATCTTTCTTCTTTGTAACATAAGTATAGATAACCGTAGTAAAATTCTAAGTAAATATATTAGGTTGGGGGAAAAAACCTTTATTTTGTAAAGTAGCGGTAATATAATTATAGTTTACACTATAAAACTGTAGCTGTTCTTTATTTAGTTCTTTCAGTTGTGAGTTTCAGGGTGTTAAAAGTAGACATAATCAATGAATATTTGCTTTAACAAAAATATGACAAAATTTGCATAAAAGTAATGGATATCTTTTTCCCTAAATATAAAATACTGTTTGTTATGCTGTATTATGTTTGTTTAATATGTAATTTCAATTAATTTATAATTAAGAAAATAAAATCACTACAATAGATTTAAAAATCATAGATTATATATTCTTGTTAAAAATATTTCTATCTTAATTATGTTTTCAGGTTGTGAGTGCATTTAGGATTTTTATAACAACAACAAAAGTTCCAACAAGGGTAAACTATTTTATTACTGTCTTGTTTTAGTAATTATTAAATATCACCAGTTGCAATTATATTAAAAACTTCGGAAAAAAGTACATCAGACATCATTCCTATTTAAGATATTTGATTGTAACATAAGTATTCTGTATTTAAAAGTAAATTATTTAACATTCAAGTAGCAGTATTATATGCTACAAGTAATGTTTATTATCAATTTAGTGACATAGACCTGCATGATATTTATGTCTAACGGTGTCACAAAGCTTAATACTTTTTAAATTTATATTTTGAAACTCTCCCATGACTCATAATTGGTGTAGTACATGAGATTTACCCCGTTACATTTCGTACTGTTAATATACATATCGAAAATGAGTTTAAAATACTTGTGATAATGTTTTTTATCTAATAATTTTTATTCAATAGGTTGACAATGGATTTCACTTGATGGAAATAGAGGCACTGGAGAGTAAAAAAGCTAATCACCTATCAATTACGTTAATTCATGAACATAAGCCTGTCTCAATTCTCATTGGTGAGTACTTGATTATATTCAATTGTTACAATAGCTTGGGTCTGTGTTGGCAGTGACAATGACACATAAATTTTAAGCAGGTTTTCTTTATTCTTGCTATTTTATTAAATAACTACGGAGATTATAATGATGGTTTTATCATCTATAATTTACAAGCAAACATAACTTAGTAAATCATTGTTTCCCAAATCGATTATGTTTGATTTTGGCCTTTCTTTTGATGCTGCATATGATTTTTTTAAAGAATGTTTGTACTTCTGTCGTAAGGCTTTCTAATAATATGGTAACCTAAATGTGAATCGTAAAAGCATAGCAAATAATTTGTGAACAATAGACATCGTCGTATCCCAATTTAATATAATTTATTTTTTATCTCAAATATAAAAATTAATAGTGTAGAAGTAAAGAAAGAAGGTGGTATTAACTGACGGACAACTTTGCTTACCGTTAATATAACGGTTGATAGTTAAAATATACATAGGCTACTTCAAAGTAGAACTTTTTATACAGATTTGTTTTCTCTGCCGACGCAGCTAGCCTAGATTAAGTGGAGTCACTATATTAACGCAACGATATTATGCAATACGAGCTATAGCTAGTTGGAATTAAGTCTAATTTTGCTTGCGCGCATTTTTTATAAGTAATTACGTAGGTTTGCAAAAGGTGGCTATCGTGGTAGATCAAAAGCAGTAAAATGTCTACGCCGGTACTCGAAAGCTGTGACGAGTCAAGCGTCTGCATCGTTGCAATACAACCCTCTTAGTTAACTTTTCATCTCTTATTTTATTAAAGGTGTTTTTTTTTTCTTATAAATTAAACGGGTGTATCTTTAATATCTGAGCTCTAGATAAACTTTTACAAATCCTGTTCTCAATTGCAACGTAACTTACTGGTATTCTAAGTGAAATCTGCATATCCTTGCAATGAAATTGGAACTAGGCATTCTGTTTTACTTGTGTGGGAAAACCTGTCCCTTTTAGGTCTATTTGGATTGTTACATAAGTATGATTATAAACAGGTTTTATCATGAACTAGCTATCTAATAGAAAAAAATTAAGTAGTCTATAATATGCTCCTTCGGCTTTCCATCCAAGTCTCGATAAAATAAGACCAGCCATTCCAGTGATTACCCGGAACAAACGCGGCTTTGGGGACAGAGAAAAATAAAACTAAAAAAAAACGTTTTTCGTTATCAGCGACGCAAAGATATTTTGAGATGTTTTTTTCTTAATTCTTTGATTCGATTCTTAATTACTGGGTGTAGTCTAAGCCGGATCGATTTCAATTTCTGGAATAAAAAAAATAATCGAGGAGTCGTATTGGACTATTATGAATGTATGTACTTTGCACGAATAAGAATTTGTTGAATTGATTGTTATTATGTTTCGGGAGTGAGTCATTCTATTAAAGGTTAAGTTATTTTATTGTCGTTTGTTCGCCATGAATAACCACTTGACTCTTTCTATCAACGACTATTGGACGCCCGCAGGATGTCAATAAAGACTCTAATTGTAGCTTAACACTCATATTTAATTACTCCGCCTAAACTATCTTTGTTTAGGGTTTCATTACGTTTAATTTTCAACCCTTTACCTATACAAAAAAAAAATTGCAAGTATTTTTTTTATTTGATCTTTAATGCTAAAGTTGAACTGTTTTAATACAAGTTCAATTAACCAAATATTGTTGAATTTACGTGGATCTATGTGTAATTTACGAATGTCGAGAACAATAACAACCGAAAAAGTAATCGATATTACCCGCTTTGTAAATCCGAATGTTGCATATCTGATACAAAAGAATGAAAAGCTGACGCATACTATTGTTTGCTACGGATGTGTACGTAAAAAATATGTATTTCTAAAAATTCGGTACTGAAAATCAATTGTTATATTCTGTTTTTTTTGATGATTTAAAGTCGCAATCTATCCTGAGGTTTCCGAAACCAAAATCTCTGTTTATAAGATATTGTTATCTCTGTTCTGTCATAGATAATGACGGGGATGACGATGTGTTTAATACAGAGATAATGATCTCGGAAACCTTCGGTAAAATAGCAATTGGCTTCATAAAAGTCTATTTTTTGCAAGAAGAAGAGGGCCCGCTTTTCTTTATTAATAACAGTAAATGAATAATTTCTAAAGTTTAGCGTTTTAAGTACTGATGTGTGTAGCGACATTATCGTTCCGAAGTCTTCATCTTAGCCTAGTTTATACAGGGTGATATGAATCACTATTATCTTTTAACCGAACAATATTACATCTTAAGTAGGCGAGTTAGCTCACGGTCAAAAGTGGGTCCACCGAACTTAAATTGTTCCTAACCTATTTAAATTCACAACGATATAATATTTTTCCTTAAATTTTAAACGCGATATTACTATTATTATAATGAGAAGAAAAACCACAATGACACTGACCACCATTGCTGCCAAGGACGGAATATTAAATAATTATTTTGTATAAATTTTGCTCGGTTTAAAAAGTATCTAGTTCCATCGTGAGGTGATTTTTTACCTTTGTTTTAGGCGAGGAGGGATCACCAGATGGGGTAATTAATGCTATTCACGCTTTAGCCGCGGCGTTTGATGATCTTTTTCCCAACGTTGCTATGGAGGACATTATATCCAAGGTCTGTATATTTATAATGTTAACCGACAGTTTTATATCTATTTACGGAGTTAATTCACCGCGCACGATCCAATTTAGTGGCTGAGTTGTTGCTTTCATTTGCTTAATTGGTTCACTCATAAGTGGTTGCAATGTATATTTTCATTAATTTTATACTAAGTACTAAAATCTCGTTATATGATAGCCGTATTTATAAAGAGCTCGAATAACCTATAGATTTGATATTTTACCCGACTGACAAGAGGTTAATCTTTTTTTTTAATACATATTATACACGAAATGTTTGATGAAGTGGCGAACAATAATTTCTGGTCAATTTGGTTGTGGATGGACTAAGATAGATTTTCTTATCTGAGGTCTGTTTAGTACTCGGGTCACGAGTATGCTTTGCAATATGTTCTATCACATAATGATTTCTAGAAATTTGAATAATAAATCTTTACGTACATATATGGGCTACTAATATACGTAAATACATAAGTGTTTGATAAATTGATCAACTCTTTGTAGCCCTTCGTCGTGTTATTTTCGTGCTATCTTTCATGCAAGTTTCAAATATTCTGGTCAGATAACTTTTTTACATTTAATACCAATAAACTTATGTCCAATGTTAAAAGATTACACATTACATATGTCTGATAATTGCTAAGTCTTGCGTTGTTTGCATGCGAAATTTTTGTGCGCCAATAACCTAATGCGATACGGATGCGCCTGCGAAGAATTGGGTCGCAGGGTCGATCTTGTATTCCAATTAGTGTTGCATAACACGTCGCATTGCCTCAGGCAATACAATGACCAATAAAATGTCGCGGTCAGACAATAATGCTGTTACATTATTATTCACTGCATTCATACGAATGACTAATCCTTTTGTTTTTATTATATAAACATATTATAAGGTTACTTTGTACCCCATGGCCTTAATGAAATTATTTTAAAGCATTATGCTTCTCCCCCAAATTGATTTTTTGGTATTTTACATTGTTACTTCATCCAAACGATATACGATTTCTGACGTAATATAAGTATTTAGTTATATTTATATATTTTTAAATTTACCTCCTTTGTTGCTATTGGGATTTTTCTATATATTCTAACATATTCATATATTAAACTTATTTTTAAAATATTACATTTCATATAAAAAATAAAAAATTGTACAAAATATATATTATACACCACCGGCTGCGGAGTCCCATGATTCAAACAACCAGTGGTCAGGGCCGCAGAGACAGGAACCTTCTCACGATGCGTGCGGTTTCTAGGATAACTGCCTTTTGTATCGAGCCCTTAATCCAACTGTTTAGTGAGAGCTTCTTGAGATGTTGGTCGAAACTCTTCGCTATCAGTCCATTCACCGATAAGTACATAAGATGCATCATTATAAGTAATAAGGATGTATTTAAAATTTATGTTACAGGTCAATTTACCTTTTCAAATACAACCGGTCAGCGGTACGCGAAAACATTCCACTTGTGGAGATTTTTCTAATCAGTATGCTGCTATGTGTGACTTATGTCAAACTCCTTTTAGGTAATGTCAAATTTAATATTTTTGTAATACGCTGGAATATTTGTTACGTTCTGGTATAATTTGGCTTATTTGTTGGTATTTCAGGGCGGAGGTGGCGTGGGACATCGATACGATATATTTGGCTCATGATATTAGAATGTTGCATTTGAAGGACTTCGATCATTTGGATCAAAGGTACTCTTTAACACCATACCATAGAGTAAGCTAAAAAGTATTTACTTTGTGTACATTTTTTCATGCCGGAAAATCTGTATAAAAATATATTTTCAGAGATTAAATTATGTAGTAAAAATCCTCTTTTAAGATGTGTTTTTTTTAAGAAATAATAATAGTTGCATACTTTTCTTCATTGTTAACTTACAACTGTAATTTGTTACTCCACAGGTTTTGAAGTAGAACACGGATTTTATACGCAATATAATTTATAGCTAGAAAATATGTTTCTATTCTGTGATTAGTAATGCGTAACTAACAATTTATCATTGCGTTTTACAAGGACCGAAACGAACTTTTAATATGCAAGTTTTATTTCTTAGCTACACTGAAAAAAAATAGAGTACCTTTAACGAATGCGTGAGGAAACTCACTTCCTTTTATTATGTCGTATATATATCTAAATTAAAAAAAATAGAAACATAATATTTTTTGTTCGCAAGGCCGCGTTTTCTCAGTTTGGCTTGACATATTATAAGCTACTTTTTTAAATTGTGCGTGGACATAGCTGCGGTCGTCGGCTAGTTAAGCAATATGAATGTTGCAGGGACTTGATACCGTTGCTGATCGCGCTGCAACACAACACGTGGTTCGAGGGCGTGTGCGGGGACGGCGTGCGCGTGGGGGGCGAGGCGTGGGAGGCGTTGTCGCGCGTGGTGCGCTGCGCCGCCCCGCCCCCGCAGCGGCTCAGCTGGCGCGCCGCCGCACTGCGACACGACCACGCCGCCAGGCTCGGACACGCACTCGCGCGTGCCCGCACACCCCCCGCCATGCACACCATTGACTTCTCACAGAACCATATTGAAGATAAAGGTAAAGCTACATAATACCTTCCTCAGATATTGCAGATGTTCATGGGCCTCGTTGAACACCTCGGTGTTCCCGCTGCTCGTTTGCCTCCTTATCTTAATAAAAACATTAAAAATGTGAAGGGATGAATTTGGAATCACAATAGTTCGGGCGCTATTGAAAATTTGATAATTATTTGCCCCTTAATATACATTAGATGAATCCAATCCAATTCTTGTGGCAATTGAATTGCAGTTGCATAGACACTAAATATAATTTTAAACCTGATTTATTGTGATAATTATTTGAATTAAATTTGTATTTCTGATTAAATTCTATACCTATTTCTACAGAATACAATATAATATATGGTTGTAATATAATTTTCAGGTGCAATAAGCATTTTAACTGGTCTGGCGAACAACCCGGACGGGCTGCGTCACATCGCGTTGTCTCAGTGCGGCCTCACTGGCAAAACGGTGTCGCACCTCGCCGCCATATTGAACGACAGTGCCTGCCATCTCTCCACATTGTCACATCTAGATCTCTCTAATAATAACCTAAAAGATGATGTACATGTGAGTATTCATTTGAAATACAGGTGTTTTATAAAAAAACAACAATTAATTTGTTTTGTTTGTTTCAGAATCTGTATAATTTTTTAGCACAACCGAACGTGTTGACGCATTTAAATTTGACTAACACGGAGACGACGCTTGAAAATGTAAGTATTTAAATAAGTCCTGGTTTGTAATGTCGTGTGCTTATAAATTACTAGATATCGCCCGGGGCTCCGTCCGCGCGGAAATAAAGAAAGAGCATAATTAGTACCATATGTGGTTTTCTAGACTATGTTCTATATATATGCTAAATTTCATCGAGATCTGTTCAGCTGTTCTGGAGACACCTTCAAACAAACATCCATCCATCCAAACATTCGCTTTTATAATAGTAGTAATATTAATTTGTTTTGTTGTGAAGACTGTGCATGGTGGTAGACATTGGTAAATCACTATATAGTTCAGATCTGGCGTCCAGGACTGCTCAACGGATCTCGATAAAATTTGGTACAGATGTATGTATAGTCTGGAAGAACACATAGGCTACTTTGTATTTTTTTTAATTCGCACGGACGGAGTCGTGGTCAAAAGCTAGTAATGAATTTGTAAAAGTTGTACGAGCACATAATGTGACTGGCAGTAGATGGGATAGCATATTATGTGTTGTGTTAGATGTGGGGAGCGCTGCTGCGCGGGTGCGCGGCGCGGCTGTCCTCCCTGCTGGTGGGACGCAACCCGTGGTCCACGGCGCGTCGCCCGCGGGACCCCCCACCTTCCTTCAGACAGTTCTTCACCGCCTGCCTCGCACTCGCCGACCTCGACTTCTCCTACTGCAAGATGCCGCCTGATGTGCTCAAGTAAGTCTTACCTAGTTACGTTACTTCTTTGGGATTTGTGTACACTATGTTCTAGAACAAAACTAGGATTCAGTATTACAATTTTTGATATTAATCGGTGACCAATAAAATGTCTCAAAGGCTTCTTGAATATAAGGTTCTTCTGTCATCCATCTACGGTAACTTGCGCTTGTAGCTAAGCACTAGCCAACATAAAGTTAAAAACCAAAAAGAATATTATAATACATAACACTACTTACTTAAAGTCGCGTAATAGTTACTAAGAGTAATCTCCGTTAGTTTTAATATGAAAGTAGGACACTTGATGCGACAGTGGTGGGTGTAAAATAGTGATGTTGCAACAGGAGCCTGCTGCTGGGTCTGGCGTGCAACGAGAGCGCGGCGGGCGTGAAGCTGTGCCTGTCGGGCGTGCTGGCCTCCGCGCAGGCCGCGCACGTGCTCGAGTCCTGCATACACGGCGTGCGTTGTCTGCAGACCCTCGACCTCTCCGATAACAGTCAGTTTACACATCTCAACAGAAATATAATGCTCATCTCTCTTTGATATAACAGAATGAGAGGGATAGAGATAATTTGTAAAAATTTCCCGTTGGGCCGATCGATCGGTGGGCGGAAAGACCCAACGGTAATATTTGTTGTACTATTGCTTAGACAGTGGAAACTAATTAAGTGAAAAGCCAAATGGATTGCTCGAATGGCGATTATTAAAAACTATAAGACACCAAGCTACTGAAATTTCAATATTAGTATAATAAAGCCGTTCGTAATAGATGTAAGCACGAAAAATATTAGTTCTATTTTAACTATGAATATTTTTATAGGTATGGAATACGAATTATCGGGCATCGTTCGCGCTATTGGAAAGAATCATTCGATTACACATTTATCGTTAAGCAGATTGACTGGGAAAAGGTCATATGCCCCGCCTTTAATACAAGTAAGTTATTATGTTATTACTCTCATTCACATTAATATTCAAGTAAGCATGTATAGTAGTTTTTAGATATCTTGGCGGCTTTTAACTTGGCGCGAGTCTACACGACAGATATTTGAAAAGCACTATACCATTTTTTTAATAAGCTGATACATAAAACATGTTAGTAAATAGTACATACTTTTGCAGGCTTTGGTACACGTTCTTCAAGAACCAGATACTGCGTTGACTTCATTAGATTTGAGTGACTGTAAACTAAAGGTAACAATACTTTAATTAAAATTTAAAAAAATAATTACCGTTTATGTTTTAGTTTAGATTGCTAAGTCTGTTTACCTCAATACTGTTTAACAGGTCAGAGTATATTTTTTGAAATATCATCAATATAAAAAAAATATCACAAAATTGCCTGTAAAATGATTTCTTCCGGTGTAACACTGCACTATGAATTTTTGTGTATGAATTCCGCATAAAACTTGACCTTTCTCACGTATTATTTAACTAACATAAAGATTGAGTTATGTTCAATATAATGTAGAGAGACCAATCAGATCGGGATGTGGCAGAATAATTGTTAAGATGATATTGAAATGATAAATATCGCTATTGTAATAAGATTACAATAAAGGACGGATGACTCAACAACATTGGCATATGAATAGCCTGTTTATAAACAATGCCTGCATAGAAATTGTTCGATGGTCATTGTCACCGATGAACAGTGTAATTTCAAAATAGATATGTAATTTGTATCACCATTCAATTTGCATTCTCTTGTATTCTCTTGCATTCGTCGTTAGGAAATGGTGTCGTATCAATGTGTTGAAATAAATGATAAAATGTAAATTAATAATAATTACGATATTTAATGTTTTGCGCGTCTATTACAGTAACAATGTTGACGTGTGATTATGTTGTACGTAAGATTAAGTAATATCTCTTTATATTCAAGATTTATTTTATTTTCAATAACAATACAGTAATTTATCGTAGATTTTTTTAAAACAATATTTATTTTATTACAAAAATAATGTTTTGTGGTTTATATGTTTTTGAATAGTTATAATAATATGATGAAATAATATTATAGGGTGACTTGTACGGCTTGCTGAACGCGCTGGGCGGAGCGCGGCGGCTGCGCTCGCTGGACGTGGGCGGCAACGTGGCGGGCGACGCGGGCGCGCGCCTGCTCGCCAAGGCGCTGCAGTGCAACTGCACCCTGCACACGTTGCACATCGACCGTAACGCATTCAGTTTGCAAGGTACGATAAATCAACATCAATATTTTAATATTACTAATATTATAAATGCAAATGTTTGGATGGATGGATGGATGTTTGTTTGAAGGTATCTCCGGAACGGCTGAATGGATTTTGATGAAATTTGGCAAACATGTAAAAGATAGTCCGGAAGTACACATAGGCTAATTATTATGTTTTTGTAACTCCGCGCGGACGGAGTCGCGGGCGACACCTAATCCCTATATAAGATTCTTGGTATATTTATTAGGGTCTCACTATAAACATTATATTGCAGAAAAATATAAAAAAAATTGTGAATGTGATTTAATCAAAAGCCAATGGAATCGCCCCCAGGCAATCGTCGTCTGTGTAGGTATAATTATAGTGGTGTTTTACGCCTGATATCATTGCCATTTGCGTTGTGCGCAGGTTTGACGGACATAGCGACTGCTCTGCGGCGGTCGGTGAGCGTGCGACGCGTTGACTTCCCCGGCTGCGATGCGGCGGCGGGAGGCCGTGGTGCTAGCGAACGAGTCGCCACTTTATGGCGGGACCTGCACGAACGGTACAATTGGAAAAACAAGCTAACTAATATTTTTTATAATAAAAACAAATAAATATCCATACACTGTCCAATTTTCTTATTTATTAATTGAAATATTTGTTTTTGTAGTTTGTCAAGCAACAGCACATCGGCGCAGTGCTACAGGCTGCGCGCGCTGGCGTTGGAGCGGGCGTGGGCTGGTGGTGAGGCGGCGGCTGCGCTCGCGGCGCAAGCGGCTGCAGCACTGCCTCCCGCTCCCCTTCCTGCCGCTCTCGAGCGCGCTGCTGCCGCTGCGCATCATCTGCTGCATCAGTATTTGCAGGTAACAAATTTTGATGCAAATAATACATAAGCATTACTATATAACAGTTACTACAACAAGAGATAACACGCCATACGGCTATTGCTCAAGTACTCATCCGCGAGAAATTAAAATTTGTTAGTAGCCTATGTTCTATGCCAAATTTTGTCCGTTGAGCCGTTCTGGAGATACTTTCTAACAAACATCCATCCATCAAAACATTCGCATTTATAGTTAAGTTCTACAAATAACATATTACATCAGCACACATAGGAGAGATTTTAATAATTACAGGAGAAACCGTTCAATACGACGATAACAATGTCGATAATATCAACCATAACTGCTTTTGTAAGGTCTGCTGAGCCGTTTGCTCTGTGTATCCTAGCGTTGCAGCGAGGTGTTCGCGGCGATGGGCGGGGCTGGTGCGGGCGCGGCGGGCGAGCTGGTGACGTTGCAAGCGGTGCGCGACGCTATGGCACCCTGCAACACCACGCTGCAGGATTTGCTCAAGTCGGTCTATATATTATATCAAGTGCTAATTTGACGTTGGAGTTAAGATTAGCCCTTGTCCCAGTCATGTCAAATCAAAGAGGATTAAGTGTATTTTTCGGACTTGCAAAATTAAATACCAAGAAACAAAACTATTACATTGTAAATTTGTTTAGTAATTTTGATTCGATTCTAGTTCAAATATTTGACTATGATTATTTCAGTGAGGCGGTAGAGAGTTTAGCGCTATCAGCTTGTGAGAGTGTGGACAATGTGGACACGGATCCCACGCCCAGCTCCGAGGCTGACATTCCGGACCTGCTCACACCTATCTCACATTCTGGGGTTAGTAGTCATGTCTAAAAATGACTTCAAAAAAGTCTGTGGTTTTTATCATGGTTGGTGTCAGGTACGTCGCGACACCAAAAATCATTATCATAATGTTTTGCACCGAAACATTGGGAAGTTTTTATACTACGTTATTATAAACGATTTCTTATTGATCTATGTCTTGTAATATTAATTTTATCTATTGTTCTTTCTATTTATTATGCAAAGAAATTGGATTACTTAAACTTGGTAAGCAACATTTGACCATATTTCATAATTTTTATTACATTTATTTAAGAATAACCATTATTTAAATTCACATTAGGTGATTATTTTAGTACACGTACTAGTTTGGAAAGCCACAGTAAGATTTATCTGTCCGTGTGTAGGCGACGCCGTTGGGTATCCGTCGTCGTGAGCGCGTACGTCGCGTGCGACCCAAGTCTGTGGCGGAGCAGCAGTGCAGCAGCAACGAGATGCTGTCACTGCCGCCGCTGCATGCGGAGGCTGCGGACGCTCTCGCAGACCTGCCTGCACACACGCTCAGGCATCTCGTTAAAGGTACTGTATCTTACTAATTTTACTATCTTACTAATAGTATAATGCGAATGTATGGACGGATTGATCAAAACAGTTCGTTTCAATAAAACTGATTTCTTTTTTAATTTCTTAGATTTAAAATTGCTAATATCTGTAAATTGTACTAGAAATAAACATCATTTATGTATGTTAGACTTACCAAATTATTTTTATATATAATAGGTTTATATAAATTGTATTAATATGAACATTTATGTCTTTCAGGTCGTCCCCGTAGAGCTAAAACTCGAGCTCCCTCTCGACCAATCACCGATCAGTCACAGGACATTGATGAAGGTAATGTTTACATTAATTTAATGTATTTTACACTCGCGGACTAAGGCTATTCTTTGTTGGTTACATCCTTGTTATAAAATCAAAATAGAATACAGAATGAAACAAAAAAAGTGGCCTATAATATGCTCGCGTGCATCAGCTCCCTTCCTGACAAATCCCGTCAGAATTCGTTTAGCCGTTCCGGAGATTACTGCAGACATACAGGCCGACAATTTTTTTTATTTGGTTCTCTATATTACATACAGACACTCCGATTTTATTAATATGCATAGAGTATAGATGAAGGAGATTGTTTCGTTGTATAGTTATCATGTGTGGACGTGTGTTGCAGGTCTGGAGGAGTTTTGGCGCACGTGCCGCACGCCGCCGGGCAGCGAGGAGGCGTCGCTGTCTGCGCGCACGCCGCTCACCTCACGCTCCCTGCACTCCCTCTCCTCGCTCGCCTCGCCCTCCCCCGCCTCACCCTCGCCGCACCCCGCCTCGCCCTCACCCTCCCCCTCGCGCGCACGTCACTCCCCCACGCTGCAGAGAGACGACACCATGTATGTCATTTTTACTATAACTTTTTATTAAAGCATATCTTCATCACACTTTCAGTCAAATCTAGAGATAAAAAGTGTACAGAAGGAACATTTTGATTGTCTTCTAAACAAATACAACTAGCGTCATTGAACAAAACAATGTACAGTTAGATGCATAAATAAGTATACATTTATTAAACTTCAAGCCACTTGAATAGGTATACGGTTTGGAAAATTAGTCGGGACATATTCGTCAAGAAACATGTATTGCTCGGAAGTATATGAATGAATCCGTGCATACATATTTTTAAACCGTAGGCTTAGACAAGTGTAATGATTTGGAAATGTATACTTATTTATGCAGCTGACTGTACATTGTTTTTTTCAAGGACGCTAGTTGTATTTGTTTGGAAGGTACCTATGTGATATTTCTCTTTTGTTATTTGAAAATCGATCATTCATATGTATTGTTTAGATGAGATATGTCATCATTTATAGGTATGTAATGTTATCGTTATAAAATTGTTTCAGGTATAGTGTGACGTCAGGGGAAAGTACTCCGGTATTATTGGAATGTGGTAAGCGATATACAATCGTTAGCACAATACACGCAAATATGTGAAGAAAAAATTCTTATGTATTGATTGAATTTGTACGAACAGAAGTATCTCGATGCAAGTCGTCTGACAACGTGGGCACGCGCGCGCCCGCTACGCCGCCACCTTCGCGTTCTTCCGACAATGTCAACACCATGGGTGAGACCGCCATTGCCAATGCCACTGTTATTGCTCATTGACAATGCTATAACATTTTTCCAAACTCACTATTCACTTGCTCCAACACTGTTAAACAATCTCATTACATTAAAACTCATCTCATGTTAAAATTTAAAACCGCTGGTTATACACGGAAAATACTTTCAAAATCATTTGCCATAAATTTCGAATAAAAAATCGGAAAGGTTCATAATCATTAAATTTCATTTAGTAAGAAACTGCGTCTAGAAAAAGCATTAAGAAAGACATAAATTCTGTAGAAGAATGGTTGATGAATGAAATTTATTGAAAAGTCTCGCTAAAAATATCTGAATATTATTTGTATTAACAGTATTTTAGCAAGTGAAATTTTGTTATACCAATTTGAGTTAGTTTTTTCAAAGAAAAATTGCTATTCACCGGCTTCCGGAGCACAAACCACGGCTTATGTCTATTGTGACGCTGAGCGCTAATGTGATGTGTTACTGCCGAAATAATTTTTGTTAATTGTTCACTAAAGACCTTAGTGTCGTTCTCTAAAGCAAACTTAACGATTTAAATTCGTCTGTTATATCCTACCCTTGGAACTTTCTAGTACAGCAACTTTTGAAGTGATATTAGTAAAGAAATAAGAATTAGCATCACAAACTTAATCTATTTTTTAATTTATTCGATCACTCATTTAATAGAGACCTTTTTTCATTTTATTAAAATAAAAGTTTGTCTCACTATCCACTACAACAAAATCATATATTATTCTGTACAATAAGTTGCAGCTATTTCGCTTTGCTATTCCCATATTTCATAATACTATTTTGGGGTCATAATTCACCATAATTGGGTGCTCATCAAGGGTATTGGATAATAAAAATCAATGTTTGTGTGGTGAGGCGATTGCTTAGTGTGACGTCAGCGTTGTGACGTAAGCGTTGTGTGACGTAATGCGTTGGGCGTACGTAGGCAACGGATGCGTGCGCGGCGCGGGCAAGGCGCGGCCGTGGTCCGTGGCCGGCGTCAATGCAGACCCCGCCGCAGCCGCTTGCACCACAGGTACGCACCAGCTTCTCCCGCCTACTAACACCAATTCAATGCCTGTCTACTGATTTTTGCCAAGACAATTTACCCTTTCGCCATTTCATAGAAAAAAAAACACGCATAGTTACTGTTGAAATATTGTATAAATTATCAGTTCCTATCATTCTTTTGAAAATAGATGAATTTAATTCATTACAGTTTCGGCGGGTGGAAAGCCACGATCCTTATCCCCGTTTACTGCTTGATTCGGGCAAAAATCAGTAGAAAAAGAAAATAGCCATGTACGCTTTGACGAGATTTTGTGTAAAATTTTTGGTGATTTGAACTTTTATAGTGTTCATTTTTATAATCATCAATGCACATTTAAATTAAATTAACTAGTCTTAATATTATGATTTACATAAAATCTCATAACGAATAACCAATATAAGAATTATCGATGGAAAGACAAAACCTTTTTATTTTTTGTCTTCTTATCGATAATTGATTTTTGTTTTTTTTTTCAATATTTGCTAAGCTAATGTCAGTGTTATTAAATGTAACTAACAATATAATGTTATCAACAACGAAATTTTTAGGTTAAGGTTTTTATAGAAGAAAAAAATGTAGGCACTTAAGAAAATTTGAAATAGAAAGAGATCCAAATTGTTCCACATTAAAATCTTAAAAAAAACGTTAGATTCACATAAGCTTTCAACTATATTCACACCATTTATGTGTATAGGGTGCGCGTCAGTCAAATCAATCAAATTAAAAATAACACATTGCTAGAACCTTAATTTTGCACGATGAATGTTTTATTTTCACAATTACTTTAAATTTTCCTTTAATTAACAGATTTAAATGTTAAACGTATTATTTAATGATTTAATCGTAATGTAACATTTCTAAATTAACACTTAAGTGCATGAATATCTATGCTATGTGCCGCACTTTTGCACTTGACACGTTGACTCTAATTAGTCGTGAATGAGAAAATACTAAATTACTGGCACTATGCACTGGAACACTGGTATGAGTTTCAAGAGTGTAATAATTCATTAAAATAATCATATTAAATAATAGATAAAAGCAAAGCTAAACATTTTATATTTAAAATGATTATAAGACTCAATTTAAACAAAGATTCTTTGTATCTTGTATTTTATAATGTGATGAAGATTTTTTTGTTTATTCTTAAGAATTTGATCATGTTGTTATATGACAATCCAAACGTAATTGGATCAGATGAACTGTCCTAAGTATAGATAAAAAAGTTATAAGAACAGAATTTTTTGTAGCTAGTGTTAGGAAGAAAATCCGACACTGTGCCGGTGTACTGGCGCAACACTAGCTTTACTGAAATGTCGACGTTTATGTCCCCTCACTAATCGTTCTAACACTTGAGTTGGTAACGAAAGCGCGCCATTCGCGCCAAAGGATTCTAACTAATAATGTCTAAAACTAGTAAAGATAAAATCCATTGTAACTAATCCGTTCTCGGTATTGTTGTATATGTGACATAAGTTATGTGTATAGTGCATATGTGTTGAGGGTTGTTGTGACGGTGCGTGGTGGTGGTCGACAGAGGGCGTGGAGGCGTGCGTGGGCGGCAGCATCGTCGGCATCACCCCCGGCGCCGCACTAACCAGTAATCAACTTTCTGACGCTATTCTGTACTGACTGCGCTCTGTATGTGCCGTGCCGTGCCGCCCGCCTGCAATACGGTAAAACGCTCGCACGCCGCTTTACATGTTTCCATTACATTTATAAACTTCTAGAATAATCCATACAAAAGTGAAGGCCATTTCTAAACTGTTTCTTTATGCTGGACAGAATTGTGTACATTCAACTTTAGCATGTTTTTTAGTTTTACAATACGTATCACGGGATTTTTTTATTTGCGTAGTTTAACTGCGATGTTAAGAAATTCCAATTTGGTGATTTAATGATTTCACTTTTGTATTAGATACCTGGAAGAACTTTGGTTATCAGATTTTTTATTATGTGTAAGAGTATTTCAGCGTTAAAAAATAATACAATTTACCAAGATCATGTTCCAAGCATGCTTTTATTGCACGATACGGGATAACAATAACAATCATTTGTAAGTAACAAATATGTAACCTGCATGAATTATATATACATTTACGGTACGGTACCAAAAGGTAGTCTTTAAATGTTACGGTTTAAAATATGTTTTAGTTGTATGGAAAATGTAAATCTTTATAGCGCTAACTAGATTGTCGTAAGAATAGGTTATGATACAAGGATGCTGTTAGTTTTTTTTATCTTATTTTTGACCTTTGGTATTGATAGTTACTGTTATACACGTCAAATAGTCACTGCTAGTCAATTTATTTGTTGTTACCATGAGTTTTCACACATAACATATTGGCAACATCTTTTTTGTCGATGTTTGTTGAGTGTGAACCCAAGGTTATAGTGTAGTTCTGTATATTGTCGTAAACTAGCTAAAGTAATGCATGAATTTGATAATTCTTTGTAATACGATAGTATAAATTACATAAATCAATATCTACTTTTGATTATATAATGGCTTAAAGTAGTAAATTGGTATTATTTATTATGAGAATTTGTATTTGACTAATATATATTTTTGTAAAAACAGGCTCAATGTTACGAGATCATCCATTAACACCAGGTTAGATTTATTAAATTTTTATATACTTACCTTATGTTTTAATATTTATTTACTAATTGTTTTCATTATAAAGACAATGTCATTATAATCATTAACATCATATATTCATTCTGTCATTATCCTCTGACGTAATTTAATTTTACGCAATTTTAACATGTTTTCTTTTAATTTTCAATAATTTTTTAAAATTTTTAGTGTTTATTTTATATTTTCTACATGAAAAACAACGGAAAGTAACTGTATTTATCGTTTTATTTCAGAAGGCGCGGATACGTAGACGAAGGACAAATGGAGACATCCAAGTGATAAGATGAGCAGGGTTTTATGTCCAAGTGTAAACGGTTGTTATGTGGAATGTATTCACCGAAGCTCACAATTGTGCCAGTTAGAATTGTAGAAGATTTAGACTAGTTGTTGGCGTACAGAACTAAGAGAACTTTTACCAGGACTGAATCTAAAGTATAACCAGGGGTGACCGGACCGATTCATCGGTAACAAGAGGCGCAGAATAGCAGCCCTAAACAAGGATTCATTTTCTTTTATCGTCGTCCCAAAAAAAATGTTTTTTCTTGATGAGCAAATGACATACAGCAGTTACATCCTGTCAGGTGTAACGTTCTCGAAGTTTCCATTCGAAAATAGTTTTTTTTAACAAATTAAGCGTCAAAATGACGATATATTTCAGTAAATGGTACTAATTTAATGATAATTTTATATCAGTCATAATAGTCATATATAATTTATTAGTTTGTAAGTTTGAAACAATTATATAATCATTTCATGTTTACTGTGATTCATTTAGTATTAAATGCATTTTGTTTATTTTGTGACCGTGATTGTGTAATGAAATATATTTATATAATTTAGTTTAAATGCTTTATTGCTTGTTTTTGTGTACACGATGTATATCAATATATTTATTTCGATTTTTTTTTTAGTAATTGTTAATCTTCATAATCAATTGTATTTTTATATTTAATCTTAGTTTAGTTTCATAATTATTTCATATACTAAAATATACATCTATATTATCAGTCTAATACCTATCCTGTATTTTCTATTGCAAATCATTAGTAGACATTTTAGCCGATTTCAAAAAGAAGGAGATTTTTCTATATAGTATTAAAATATTTGCAGAATAATTACATCACAATATACAGAGGATTTTTTTCACACTTCTTATTAGTCTTTTGTTTGTAAGCCTCTTTCTTTGATTAACTTTTAAAGTGGCTGTTTAAAAAATTCTGTAATTATTATTTAGTTTTTTTTTTAAAATAAAGGTACCTAGTCATATGGCCTACGATTAACCGTGAGCTTCCATTACAAAATAAAAACAGTTATCTCTGTATTTTTTAAAATGAAAATATGAGAGATGACATGTTTTTTTGTTGTAGCTGAAGGCCACGGTAACAATACGCACAAAATTTAACTCGAACGTGATAAGTTTACCAGTAATTATCATCAAATTTAAATTAATCTATTGTAGATTTCTTCCAATTACATTCCTTGATATGTACATAACAATGTTCGTGTGAATTGTGACACAGGTGTGATTTTAATATGTAGTTCAAATGAATGGATTTTAGTGTAGCGTAGTTTGAAGGTGGTCAGTTCAATTTTATTGTACGGTACGGATGGTAATGTAGACCGCTCCCATAACTTTAAGTGTTCATTAGAATAACTATTTTAATATCAATTACTCTTCCCTCGTCGTTTGAGTATAAGGCTGTATTGTAATGGATTTTTTCTTGTATGTAACTTGTAGGTATATAGTGTACTATTGCTAAATTATTTCATAGTATTTTTATATTCATTCCAGTTTGTGTTATAGCTTCTTGGTACCAGACTGATTTTAGGTACATTTATTTTATGGTGCAATTTATTTTAGAGCGTTGTGATAATCTGTTTTAAGGTACATTATACTATACAGCAATTTATTCAGTGTTTCCTTATCCATGCTGCCTTGAATTCCATTGTTACCATCAAAGCCCCTTTATTGCGTACGGACAAATAAAAACACAATACTGATTTGTATGTATTTAATTATATTAGTACTATATTTACATCCTTAACAAATGACATTCGCACCTCAACAATCATTCTATTAACAATTGCGCATGAACGAACGTGGAAATATTTTAATTCGGTCTGTAACAAAATTATAGGTTTGCATACATTTTATGAAATAAAAAATCTGTTTTATAACTTTTACAATTTGAATCACATTTAAAAATACATACACACTGTCTATTTACTTCTATTGAAAATCAGTCTATGTGTTGGTTTGCTACATGTTGGAAGTGAATTTAAGTATTTTATAGTGCTTAGATATACAGTCAAGGATTGTTATATTAAGTGTAACAAAAGGTGTTTCAAAAAATGAATTGACACATTGCTCTTGTGATTGAATCATGAAGTAGTACTAGAACTCCACTATTATGAATTTATAATATATATATAAGAATTTTAACACAAGTATGATTTTAAATAATAAAATTAATATAATGAAAAAACATCAGCCTTACACCTGTAAGTTCTTGATGTATGCGAAATTATAAAAATGGACAACATATTATATACACATATGTATATGCAACAAAAGTCGTCGTTCTCACATCACAATATAAAAATAAAATTATTATACTACACTTACTCTAATATTCATGTTATCAAGAAATTCTAATCACAATTTTAACTAATTAACCAATCTTAAATATATAAGAGACACATTGTTATTACTATTTATTAAATCATCATAGAAATAGGGAAAGTTTAGACTATGACTTAAGGTAATATAAAAACATTCCATTTGCATATTGCAGCATAAGTTGTCAAAAAATAAAGAATTTTCTTTCTAAGATAGCATAATTAACATCATGTACATTAAAGACATGAATATAATCAATGTTTGAACGGAGAACATTAACATAAGAAATTGTTATTTCGCACAAGACGTAACAGAACACAATTTTGGATATAGACGGTATTTGGAGATTGCCAACGGCCCTGGACAGAAAGAGGCGCCACAGGTCTTTATATTATAGTCTCACATAACCCATCAAAATGCATGGTAAAATAAAAAGGCGCCATAGAAATCACGCCTGGAGCGCTAGTAGACTTACTAGGAAGGCTTCCTTTACGCGCGCTTCTTTCCACTCTTAGTAACCATAATATTGACCATAACAGAAACAGTCATTGAAATATTATTTTGAGATCAAAGATCAAAATAAGTTATCAACATACCCCAATATAGGTATGAATTTTAAGTGTGTTCAATAAATGGATTAAAAATCAAACATTTTACTGAACTCATTATCTTAATTTAATAGAAATAACTAGGAGAATGATTCTAGTCTCACGGAGCACATCACAGGTTAAACTGGGAATCAACTGCAGTCTTACAAGAGCACTACACTTGCACTGTCACACACACACTAGGAGAATCTCCGTTAACGATGGCGCCGATAAGGTCACAAACCACCGAGTCCTGTGCTCCACGTGGTCTTAGCGCCCGGATCAGGCGCTAGGCGTCGCTTCTTTTTTTGGTTCCTCCAAATTGCTCACATTCTTGACATCATCTTTTGAATCCTCATCTATCGGAAAAAAATCATACATATTAATAAATAAGAACCGAAAACTGCAAATTTTATTATAGACTGACAATATATGACATTTAAGGATATACTCTTACTGTTGGTGTCGTCCTTGTGGTGCGCGAGGTCCTTATCGAGGCGCGGCCGCTTGCGCTGCGGGGCGCGGTACGAGCGGTTGTCGCGTCGCCCACCCTCGCCCTCGTCCTCAGAGTCCGACAGCTCGCCTTCACCAGTTATGCGCTTATCCTATAACAAGACACACACAATAGTAAGACGTTTCAAATATTTCGGCAGTTCAAGGTTCCTTCCCCTCGCACTTAACGAGCCCCTACACCTATTTTTGACATAGAAACCAGAGATATTTGACATATGAAACATTAGCAAATTTTTTTTATTCATGGATTTTTATACCCGAGCACACTATTGAACTTTAGTCAATAAATAAAATTTGTTGTTTATGAAAAAAATGTCATTAATTCAAGAAATTCAAACCATACCTTTTCACTTTGAGGTAGCCTTTCATCTTTGTCTATTTTATCTTCATCTTCAGATTCATCATTGACTGCATCTTCTGGAATAGCTTGCACCTACAAATATATTTTTTAACTTTGCTATAAATATATTTATTTCATTTTCAAAACATTTAAAGTCAAAAAAATTGATTTAGTTTTTTACAATTATTTTTAACACTTTACCTGAACTCCAGGTGCATGAGGCAGCATGCGAAGATTCTCGAATAGCCTGTTCTTAATCTTTTCCAAATATTCAGGTGTGTTCTGATTGGACATGTTGCTGGGAGATATGTGCAGTTTGAAGTCTGGACCAAAGTATTCAAAGTAGTCATTGTATGGCAGCTCATTTGCTATTTCAACACCAAGTGCTACTGATGTTTCATACGTCCAACAGCGGGAGACATTGCGAATTGTGTACCTAATCATACAAATTTAAAACAACATTAGTTTGGCAGCATATACCTGATATTTATTATATCAATAACACAACACAAAATTAAGAATCTGTTGCTTAAAATATTGTAAACTCACCCTCCCCCACCAACAAGAAGGAATGGCAGGCCAAATCTCTTCACCAGTTCCACACAACGTCCATGACCACGCACCGTCAAGTTAAAGCAACCAAGTCTATCACCTAATAGATTACACATATGTTAAATTACACTTGTAGACAGTTTAAATTTAATCATCAATCAATGATCATTTAAGGTGAAATTCGACACTGAAATTTGACTACTACAACACTTGTTTTACATCATCTTTTATTTCTTAGAAACGGATGACAAAATTAGTTGAATTACTAAAATGTTTTTTTAACATTGAAAACCAACAGTAAAGATATATGATAATAAAATACCTGTAAGAGAATCCGCTCCACACTGTAGAACCACCGCACTAGGCTGGAAAGTCTCCATGACTTTTGAGATGATGGGCACAAAGATTGATTCATAGGACTCGTCATCCATGCCGTCGCGTAGAGGAATGTTTACCGCGTAGTATTTGCCCTTTCCCGCGCCAATATCCCGCAAGTCACCTAAAAACAAATTCAATGTTTTTTCTTTCTATTTGACCAACTAAAATATAACAATTAAATCTATCAATAACAAAATGCAAGTGTGTCTTGAGTTTAATTATCATCATTTTATTTATTAAACTGCTTTCCAAAAATAAAGATTACATATATCAGCAGGTGCATTCATAAAAAATCAAACATGATGTTATATGTTCATATATGAATTGTAGATGCCATTAAAGTAGCATACCTGCGCATTTAATATGAACAAGCACTAGTTTAAAATAAATTAAAATGATACTTGATTCTTAACAATGTCACAAATTAAAAGTAATACTGAAACCCATAACTATATTAATTATAAAAAAAAGATATACAGACCTGTCCCAGGGAAGTATTCTCCATATTTATGGAAAGAAACTGTCATGACACGGTCAGTTGTGTAAAAAGCCTCTTCCACTCCATCACCATGGTGCACATCAATGTCAATGTACAAGACTCTCTGGTGATACTTCAGTAGCTCCAATATACCGAGGACAATGTCATTTACATAACAAAAGCCTGACGCCTCAGATTTCTTAGCATGATGCAGTCCTCCACCCCAGTTGATACAAATTTCAGATGCCTACAAATTGTATAACATAGAATAGAATATAATATTGTATGTTTTGGCCAAAGATTTATTAATTATGCATTCATTCATTAGCTGCTTCATCTTTTTTTAAAGGTGTTTACACTCATACCTATATTTAGCCATAAAGAATAAAAAGAAATAAATTTGGGCTTAAATTACATAAAGCAGTAAGTTAAAGACTTTAAAATATGAACAGAAATGCATTATTAACCTGTTTATTTAATTTAACAGCAGCAGCCACAGATCCTCCAGCTGATAGTTGGCAGAATTCATATAGGCCATCAAACACTGGGCAATCCTCACCAACATTAACTAAAACAAACATACACAATAAAATTAGTTGAAAACAAATGTATAATAAGTATGATGACAACTGGAAATTATTTGTTCTGAAAGAAAAATTTATGTTTGTAACTAAAATATTTGAAAATGGTACCTCTTTACCACCTTTCCGGTAAACAACAGATGAGGTCTTAATTAAAGATGCATTAATAAAAGAGTAAAATAACTTACATCGTTGCATTTGTTTATTGTATTCATTCATGTTGTCAGGTCTGATTGATCGAAGGAACCGAATATAGTCATCTGAGTGAAACTTAGTCATCTCATCAGCAGTAGCTTTATGTGGGCGCTGTGTAAATAAAAAATTGTTAAGTCTAAGCTACTAATTTAATATAAGTTTTATTTTAATAAGTTATTTCAATACATACATAAATTTCCATTTTTCTGTATAACCCATAATTGAGCAGTAAATTATGTGTCATACGTATACGGTGTGGTTTCATGGGATGTCCTTGCCCATAGTAGTAATTCCCAATATCACCTAAAATAAAAAAGTTGAAAATAATTACATTAATAGTAATTTTAACTTTTTAAGCGAATGTTACTCAATTCATTTATTGGCTTGACACATTTCAGTCTGTACTTCTTTGAGTGAAAAGAGATCAACTTTCCACGGACCAATAGCAACGAAGATCGCCGTACAGACGCCATAAACTCACTTAAACCACAATCGCATAAAAAATGTAATAAGAAAATGGATGCAACAAATATGTTTATCATTTATTACTGCATGTTTTATATAAAAATTAATTAAAACAGTAAAATTAACTGATTTTGAACATTTAAATCTGAAGTAGTATCATATTTTATACTTACTGTCGTAGTAATAGCAAACCCTTTTCTTACTATGGGGTTGCATAGCCATTGTAAAAGTGTTTAAATTTTAAAATGCAATAGTAATTATTGTTATTCCTTATATTATAATGATTCAATTACCAAAGTTAAACAATAAACTTTTATTCTTTCACTTTTATAGCAGTGGCGGCGGGCGCGTTGCAATCAAACGAAAACGATGAATGAAAATGAACGAGTTGAACGTTGAATAAACAAGGAGTGAAATGAATGAGTGAACGAATGATGTTGGTATCATTTTACACAGATAAAATATGTACCAATTCGTTTTCGTAACAATTTTTCCAATTGATTTTATTTTAGTTCCCTTTTATTATTTTTATTAGACCTGAGATATAGGTCACTGCAGCGATTTTCCAAAAAATGTAAGAAAAAAAGGAAATTTAATTAATTATGCAACTTCCACAGATGTTCATGATCATTGAACAACTCATAGACTATATAGACTCCTGGACGTGGATGGACAATTTGAATGAATGAATAAAATCATTCAATTAGCTTATAAACCGACCAAATTATGTATGAAGTTAGTAGTGTCGCCACCGTCGAAAATATTTCAATCCGATTGGTAAGCTCCTATCAATGCTTGAGTTTTTCATTGTCATGGTCGTAGTTCAAATTTTTGCCACTCTACAGATAAGTTGGTAAGACAATAACACCATTCATTCCATTCACTAGGTTTGCGAAATCGATTTCGCGTCTCTATTCCATATTTAATTTTTCTCTCTCTTGTAAAAGCAGTGGTCGAGGTGAGACGTCTTCCTATACCGGATTTACTTTATGTGTTAATGTCTTATGTTTTACTATAGTTGAAAGTCAATTAATTAACTTAAATTGTTTTTTTAACGTTTTACTGCCGAGTTTCATTGTTACTAAAGTTATTTATGAAATTTCGTTCCATTTAAATAACAATATTGCGTTACTTGCAGTGCCCTGCTTCAATCAACGAGTATAACATCTGAATTTATCAAGAACATCCTGATCACAATTTGAAATCTAAAAATGTAAGTATTCCTTGTATAAGTAGTTGAATTCAATTTAATTTTTATTTTAGTACATGAGTAATGTTAATGATTTAGCTTTTCAAATTCTGCAAAATGGTTGACATTTCTGACATGATGTATCGATCGGTGTAATTCTAACTATATTTAAATGCACCAAATGTTTCATGTTCTTAATAAATTGAATGACCGCCATTTTGTATAGCCTTCGTGGATTACAAAATTAATGAATCACAGTATTTACATTCAGCGAAAATATGTTTAGAAATGGTTATTATTTAAGTACGAAAACCATTCATTTTAGTAAAACAAATTAAATAGTGCTTTTGGAAAGCATTTGCGCATGACATGATAGCGTGACATGCGCGGTGTAACCTTTTATTTCAAAGTATTGATTTTACCATCAGTCTATACGTTCTTGCATGAGTCTGTAAATGTAGTCGTGGCTGACGCCATCTTGTAAAGGGTGTATTGATTTCTAATTATTTCTGAAATACACCAATTCTAACAATTAAGACATTTATCTGAATTTGAAGCTTACCTAAAGAAAATGTAAAATATATCACATGTCTATTTTATAATTTATATAGGTAAAGTATTAATTCATGTTCGTGTTTTCTTGTGACAGGTCAGGAAACTGGAACAATAGTCGTGGCGGAAGCGGCGGTTCCAAATTTGGTAATCATGGATCAAAGTTTGGTGGTGGCGGCGGCGGTGGTGGAAGTCGATTCGGAAACTCTGGAGGTTATGGAGGAGGGAAGAAAGAATTTTCCGGTGGACAAAATATGCGACGCCCAAACTGGGATACTATGTCCTTACAACCATTTAATAAAAACTTTTACAATCCACCACCAGAAGTATTGAAAAGATCCTCATATGAAGTTGAAGAATATAGAAACAAACATGAGATTACTGTGAGTGGATTGGATATACCAAATCCTATCCAGCACTTTGAAGAAGGAAATTTTCCAGACTATGTAATGCAAAATATTTCAAACATGGGTTACAAGGAACCCACACCAATACAAGCTCAAGGTTGGCCCATAGCTATGTCTGGCCACAACTTGGTGGGGATAGCTCAGACTGGTTCAGGCAAAACCTTAGCATATATATTGCCTGCGATTGTGCATATCAACAACCAGCCCCCTATTAGGCGGGGCGATGGCCCTATTGCTTTAGTATTGGCACCAACTAGAGAGCTGGCACAACAAATTCAACAAGTTGCATGTGACTTTGGAAATGCATCATATGTACGCAACACGTGCGTATTTGGCGGCGCGCCTAAAAGGGAACAGGCTCGTGACTTAGAAAGGGGTGTAGAAATTGTTATTGCCACACCTGGTAGACTTATTGATTTCCTGGAAAAGGGAACTACAAACTTACAACGTTGCACATATCTAGTACTAGATGAAGCTGATCGCATGTTAGACATGGGTTTTGAACCCCAGATTCGTAAAATTATTGAACAGATTCGACCTGATCGTCAAACTCTTATGTGGTCAGCCACATGGCCCAAAGAGGTTAAGAAGTTAGCCGAAGACTATTTGGGTGACTACTTACAAATAAACATTGGATCTCTACAACTCTCTGCCAATCATAACATTCTACAAATTGTAGATGTTTGCCAAGAACATGAAAAGGAGAACAAGTATGTTATTTTCCTATTATTATAACTTTTTTACATTTAGTGATGATTTATGAACTAGTATGATATAAATTGATTAAAATAAACATTATCCTCTAAGAAGATCTGATAGTAAAATATCAAAATTGTTAAAAAAAAATTCTATGTTAAAATTCTAATGATGTATAACATTTTCAGGTTAAATGTTCTTTTACAAGAAATAGGCCAAAGCCAAGAACCTGGTGCCAAAACTATAATATTTGTTGAAACAAAGAGGAAAGTGGAAAATATAACAAGGAACATCAGACGGTTTGGCTGGCCAGCTGTGTGTATGCATGGTGACAAAACACAACAAGAAAGAGATGATGTTCTCTATCAGTTCAAACAGGGTCGTGCAAGCATACTTGTAGCAACTGATGTTGCTGCCAGAGGACTTGGTAAGGACTGATCATAATTGATTTTTTAAACCAATAAGTAAATATTAGGTAACCATATTAGTACTTAATATGTATTTATTAATATTGTTTGTTTATACTTTTCAGAGGCACTGGCGGAAAGTTATTGTGTTCTATCTGAGTACTCTCCCAAATTAGTGGATATGTTACTGCTGATTTGTAGATGACTTAGTGTGCAGTGGTTTAACTAGAGAATGCAATAACTCGTCATGTAATGGTGCCTCAAAAGTGCCTTTCACTATGATGGACCCACGGCCGGAAGCTTGATGGTATGTCCGTGAATGCGGATACACTTGAGAGTATTGGAAAACCTGGTGATGCACTACATATTAGATGAATATTTTAATAATCAGACATAGAACTACTGGTGCATCGTTGAAAAACTTGACCACAGGTTGAGATGATTGCAAAAGGTCAAGGGTTTTCTATTTCGGCCACAATGGAGATTGGAAGGGGCAATCAAGTATATGTGAAAACAAATTGATTATAACGCCCTTACAAGACTCCAGGGTTTTCTCAGTGAGAGGCAAATGTCTTTTATTTGTTGTGTAACTCATTCATGTAAGTAATACTGCTATGAGTTACATTTGGTAATATCTGTAAACCCTTTGTTTTTTTTTTTTATGTATCAATATTGGAAATGGCATTAACTAAATTTTCTGGATTATAGATGTGGATGGTATCAAATATGTTATAAACTTTGACTATCCCAACTCTTCGGAAGATTACATTCACCGGATAGGTAGAACAGGGCGTTCAAAATCAAAAGGAACATCATATGCCTTCTTCACACCTTCAAATTCACGTCAAGCTAAAGACCTTGTAAATGTATTACAAGAAGCAAATCAGGTAATTAATTATTAATTATATTTGGATTGTAAAATTGATTTATGTACTTCCTCATACCTTTGGCATGGGTACGTTCTTCAATAGCGTGACATGAATGCAAGTATGAGGTACATCAATACAACTTCATGCCTTCGGTGTCCATGTTAAACACATGCCTGGATCCCATCCTCAAAAGTTGTAACATATGTATTTACCAAAGTGCACATATTTACCATGATTTAGTCATGTTTCGTAAATGAATAAAGAAAAATAATTAGTTAAAAAGAAAAAATAAGTACTGTAATATGACAATATACATGATACTAATGTAAATATAATTTTCAGACTATCAGCCCGCAACTACAGACGATGGCAGACCGATGTGGCGGTGGCGGCGGCGGATGGAACAGAAGCCGGTACGGCGGTGGGCGCGGAGGCGGCGGCGGCTCCTTCAGACGTGGAACCAGTTTCGGCAGGAGCAATGGCCAAGGAAGCGGCGGACACAAGCGATTTAATGAATACTAACTTATCTCTATTTTTAAGTAGCAAATCCTCTTAGGAATATGAATGAATACACCGTGTAAATGTACAAGATTGTAGATTGTGACATCCCCTCTCCTAGTAAAACTATTATTGTATTCTATAGGTGTCTAAATTTGATTCTTTCATATACATCTGTTCTGGCTAGATAAACAATACATTGAGTAAATGAACATGAGTGTTTGACATTAAGTTATTTTTAGGCGGTATTATTTTTTCTGTGATATCTTAAATGAGGATAAGCTTGTGTTGCTGTCTCTTCATGCCCTAACCTTCAATTTGTAAATGTTGAAGTGCACGTGCCCCCGCCTTCTTTTGGGGGAAGTACCAAATATAATAACATCATTCCACTTTGTTCTTTTGATCTGGTGAAAAATAATAATAAAATAAAAATAATATGTCAAGTCTTTTTTAATTATTTCTTACCTTTTAGAATGTATAAAAATGCAGCAGTGAAATATGCTCATAGAACTTGCAATCGATCATTTCCTGATTTTTTTAATTACAATTAAAATAGTTTCCTTGGTATTCCTGTTTTATTCTACAAAACTACATAAAGAAAACCAAAAATTTTGATTCAAACAAGATTTTTTTTAATTGGATAGCTAACTTATAAATGTGAAAGTCTGATGGCTGTTTGTTGGAAGGTATCCCGGCACGGCTTAACGAATCTCTAAAAATTTCTACCGATGTAGAACATAGTCTGAAAGAACACGGGCACACAACACAAACTTATTAAACCTTTCGGTGCCACGGTTTTGTATACGGGACAAGCAAAGAAAGCTGTGGGCCACAGTCTTCTATATAAGACCAAAAACATGTCCTAGCCTAACCTAATCTAATTCCGCGCGGACGGGAGCAGCGGGCGATAACTAGTAACTAATAACTGAAAAGTAATAACCTAAATTATATTACTTGTTTGATTAATTTTATTGTAAGACCGATTCTAGAGACTTGTCAAAATTATTAGGAAGGCACTCGGTCTTGTAGTAAAAGCCCGGACGATTCCGCACGGGAACAGCTAGTTTATACAATATACAGAGATATAGGAGTAAAAGAATTAATTTTTAACGTTTTTTCGTTGTCCTCTCCTTGGAAAACGAAAAACATCGTTGGCAGGAGAAAAATAACCGTACTTTGATAAAAGCCAAATAAAAGCAAACATTCAGTTCACTCACAAACTCTGTGGCAAAATCCTGTGTCTATGGCAAAAGCACAAGTGTCAAGCACAGGCAAATGAGAACGAAGTTTGAGGTTATAATAATATGAAATTATAGTCGATATGGCCTTAAATATATTACCCGTGATGTTTTTAAGACGCAATGGGATTAAATCGTAAGTAAATACAGTAATATCGCTATTTAATAAAACAGTTAAAATTCATAATTTATATTATAATTTAATTTAATTGCAGATTGTGCCAAAGTGCTAAATATTTACAAAAACTTCAAGAAAACCAATTATATGCGGTAAAAAACGAAATAAGATTATATTCAAATAAAAACGTGAAAAATTATATTGGCACTTTACAAACTAAAAATATATTACATGAAAAAAAATATTATTCCGTAAAAACAGCGCAGCAGGATCTTGATTATTACAATGAACATAACATAACTATTATTGGAGATAATGTCCCTAGCCCATATCGTGACATCGAAAACTGCGACTTTCCTGATTATATAAAAACATTTTTGAAAAAGCAAGGCCTTGTCAAGCCAACGATAATTCAATCACAGGGATGGCCAGTAGCATTAAGTGGCAAAAATCTCGTTGGTATAGCGCAAACCGGTACTGGTAAGACATTGGCTTACCTTTTGCCAGCTGTTGTGCACATCAAAGAAAAACAGGGTAGAAGAAGTAAAGGCCCAAGAGTGTTGGTACTTGCACCCACAAGAGAACTCGCAAGACAAATAGAGGAGGTTGCTAAAGAGTTTGAAACTTTGCTGAATGTCCGTTGCTTGTGTATACATGGAGGGGCAAATAGAGGACCACAGGCAGCAGCACTGAAGGAGGGTGTGGATATTTTAATAGCCACACCTGGAAGATTGAATGATTTCATTAATAGTAAAACAACAACATTAACCCGATGCACATATGTTGTTTTAGACGAGGCAGATAGAATGTTGGATATGGGCTTTGAGCCACAGATACGTGAAGCACTAGAAGAGGTGCCTCATGAAAGGCAGATTCTTATGTTCTCGGCAACTTGGCCTAAGGAAGTTGAACACTTAGCTAAAGATTATTTGGGAGAGTTTATACAGGTTAACGTTGGATCCACAGAGCTATCAGCAAACCACAACATACAACAGAATTTTCATATTTGTGAACAGGATGAGAAAATGGAAAAGTAAGTTGATCATTCTATACTTTATTTTAGATATCAATACTTCTGAACAAAAGTTTAGTCTTATATTTATTGTATAGTATGTTGATTTTTGTTCACTTTGACAATTTTAGGTTCAAGGAAATCATGCATGATATATCGAGCCAAGGATTGGGGAAAGTTTTAGTATTTACCAATACTAAAAGATTTGTGGATACTTTAGCGTTGACGCTGAGAAGAAATGGTTGGCCCGCTGTTGGTATCCATGGTGACAAGACACAGAATCAAAGAGATGCAATCATTAACAGATTCAAGAGTGGGAACACAAACATACTTGTTGCCACTGATGTTGCTGCAAGAGGTCTAGGTAAGTTACATTTTTAACTATTTAAAATCTAATTAGTGGTGGAAATGTCTTTAAGTATAATTTCTTATCTTATTTTTCAGATGTTGATGGGGTAACACATGTGATTAACTACGATTTTCCGAATACTTCGGAAGACTACATCCATAGAATTGGTAGAACCGGCCGCTTGCAGAATAAAGGAGTTTCACACACCATACTCACAGAAGATGATGCAAGGCATGCTAAAAGCTTGATTCCTGTACTCAGAGAAGCTAATCAGGTAAACAAAAGGATTGATAATGTTACTATTTTATTTCCTTTCATAAATAATTTCTGTAATCATCATAACAAATATGTAAGATCTGGTTTATGTGTGATTGTATTAATTTATAGTTTAATTTAACACATTACAGGTTGTTCCGCGTGAATTAGAAGATATGGCAAGAAGTTATAATGTAACAAAACAAAAGGAATATCAAAGCAAATATAACACAAAACGGAGTTACGGATTTAACCCTAACAAGAGGAATAATTTCCGAAGTCGCAACAGTTATAATAGATATAACCGTTATTAAATATTCGTAGTTGAATTATAGTTGTCACAGGCTGTGTAGTATTATAATTTTTCCATAGTGCTTTATTCATGTATGTATATAGATTTTCCAAATAATTAAAGTACAACTAATAAAACTAATACGCATTTTGTTTTTAACGAGTCTTTAATAGTAGACCTAACAGGCTTGGCTGTACATCCTGCTCACTTTTTATTTGACTTTAATTTTTATTAAAAAAAACGAACATTTTTGCATAAGCTATGGCTGCAACAATAAGAAGCGGTTTCCATGGTAACCGTATGACAGTTATAAGTTACAACTCGTTTTGGAGTTAAATATTTAAATACACCCTATTATGAACATTCAAAAATGGCATTACCTGAGCTCGATACAAGATCTGTTTTAGATACTGTCGAGGAGAACTTTACAAGACTCGGATTGGTTCGTGTTTCAAAACTACTTTTATAATATAAGTGTATTTGTATTTCTGCAAAGCACAAATAGTAAGGTACTGGAGAAGGTAAATAACACAAGGGACACAATAATTACAATTGAGATAAAGTCTTCTAAATTGTATTGTTTAAAAGACTCGCAAATGTTATTGTGTTGAAAGAAGATCCTTGTATTAATTAAAAAAAAAAAGATGATTGTTTACTGCATTATAGTAGTCTGAACTAATTTTATGTTTTTTATTTATTAGAAAACGTATGCAATTCGTATGATATACGCTGGAGAACATCTTGTAAAAAAGGATGAACTTATACATATGTTTTCTAAGACTGTGAACGACGTCAATTCCAGTTACTGTGAGATTCATGTCACTGGCTTGCTATTGGTCTATGACAGTTTTTTTGTCCACGTTATAGAGGTTAGAGATTAATATGTACCTTATTACATTTTTTTGTTTTTTTTTTGTAAATTTTTGTAATTTGTAACTTTTTTAAACTTAGTTGCCTAAGTGTTCTTGTAATTGAGTTTGCTTTTAAATTGAAATTTAATAAAAAAAATTGCAGCTATAGTAATATTTCTTTAGCCATATATATCTAAGTTAATATAAGTTTAGGTGTCTGTTGTTTGAACTAAATGAAATAAAAACGTAAAGTGTTTTAAAAGGGATCCGAAGACACAGTTCATCGTCAGATAAGATTTCTGTTCAACCTTGAAGCTCAAATGTGTAAGGAAAAGGCTAAAAATGAAGCTGTAGAAGCGGTTGCTCAAGAAAAAACTACAGAAGGCAATATCGAAGGAAATGCGGAGAAAGAATGCAGGATCTTTAGGAGATTAAAGACTATAATGGTTTATCATTCTATGCAAACGGTAAGATCTAATATTTAGACTCCTTTAAACTCTGAAATGATGTACCTAGAGTGATTAATTCATTTATGTTCTTAATTCGGTCATGTATCATGTTATTGTATGTGTGTAGTAGTTTGTTTTGTTCTTAGCTTATGTTTAGCGGCTGGCGAGCTTTTACTGCCCGTCCCCCGTCTCTTGTCGGAAACCTGGACGTTTATGGCCCCATAGCCGAACACATGGAGCAATTGAGGATATTTCTCGATAAAATGAGTAAACTCTGTGATCTAGCACAGCATGAACACCATGTAAGAAATACTCAGTTATAAATACGATTGTTTTTAAATGTTTTTGTTACGTTTAAATTATTTCTATTTGTAGTTATCATTCGAAGGCTTGAGTGCGGTGGATCCGAAGATAGAGACTTTGCCAGAAGTGACACTTTTGGACTTTTTGCTGGAATCGAGGTATATCCTTGATCTGCGTCGCACCGCACATATGCATAGGAGAGTTGATGACTACGTTTTCTATTTTGGTAAATTCTATTATTTTTTGACTGATTTCTTAAACAAAATAAACTACTTCCTATTCGAACTTAAAATCATCTAACATTACGTAATGGTTTAATTTTAGAAAATGTGTGGCCGTTACCAACTCATTTCACCCCACGGTTTCTGTATAAATTGAAGATAGATGATTCATTCGTTGAGCCACTTCCAGTCATGCCATGGGAGAAAGTAAAGAAAGACGTCGACGATGAAGGCAGGGAAACAGAAAGGGACGAAGATCAAACTGATACTTCGGATAGTGACTAATACTCGCTAGTACTATAATTGTTTAAATCTGTGTATTAAGTTCTAGTAATTTTTTTATTAATTTTTTAACGGTACGATCAAATTTAATTATGAAAGTTAACTCATCAGAAGTTTATTAAAGTAAAAATTCCATATTAAAAGGTTTTCTGTACGTATTTATTTTTATTTACATGATTCAATTAGGCGTTGAAAATATTTTAAGTAAACAATACTTCAGTGAATATTTGTTGCTATGGTTATATTGAACTAACTTCTTGCTTTTATTACAATCAACTGCATTCGAAACGGTTGTGGCGATGGATAAAAAAGTTTTGTTGAAAAGAATATCAAAAAAGTCAGGTATTAAGCTCCCTCCAATAGAAGATCAAAATGACAATCAAATTAAGACAATTATAGACGTAGATCCAGACTTTTATACTTTAGTAGACGGAAGACCGATTCGACCTGATACTTCAATTCGTAAGTATAAGAAATATATCAAAGATGTTGCATTAAAAAGAACATTTCATGGTTTCCTCTTAGATGAAATATTGCGCATAGATAAAGATATTAAAACAGAGAGAAAAATATACGAAACTGCATCGAAACATTTTAGTGAATGTCAAGAAAGTTTTAATAAATTTTTAGCGGATGATAACAATAAGACTATTGTTGTAATGAAAAAATCTGATAATTTGGATAAGGAGTTAGCAAATCAAATAGAAGAACACAAAAAAGCGAATTACGAATTAGCATCTCTCAGATCTAAGTTGCAATACATTGATGAGACATTGCAAATTTTAATTTCGTTTCAAAAATTTTTATATAACGCTGCTCCAGTATTATGGCAAGATAATAATAAATTAAATTTAGTAACGAGTAATTTGGATATTTTCACTTTGGATTCAGATATATTTTGTGAAATTAATGTGAACTCAGTGATAGAAAAATTGAGAGAACTGCCCCCAGCTGTACTGTATTTTGAAAAACCAGCACAAATTCTAATTATTTTTCAATCGCTAGAGCAGCAAAATTTAAATTACCTTTTAAAAACAGTAGAACTACGTTCGGAAAAGAATAGATTTTTAAAATCAGCCAGCCTTCTTGAAGATTTACTTCGAAATGAGTTGGATTTCATACAAGAACAGGTAACCTTGTTAATTTAATATTGTTGCCCTAGGTTTCTACCTCCGACCAGGTATAGAGACACATTGTCAGTTTTTTTTAAGAATGTGAGAGATGATTGTCTTGTTGTAGAGGTGTTTTTTTAAGCCATGAAAGGTCACGCTTAATGCTTTAGTGTTGTGTATATTTACGTTTTGTTTTTTACAGATGCATTCAGTTCAAAAAGCTATTGAAGAGGATGAAAAGAGAGAAAAAGAATTGAAAGAAGAATTTTACAATATCTTGAATGACAAGATAAAGTATTTGATATGCTCAGAAAGTGTATTAAAAATTTCTAATTACGTAGAGTTTGCTTACGAACAACTAATTGGTCCAAACGAGACTCACCTGAGCACTTTGGACCAGGTTCTTGCGTTAGAACAAGAATATAACTCCGTAATGTTGGAACTATCTGCCTTCGATTTAAATGAAGTCAAGTCTATTGAAAAAATAATCTACGATGACGGAGCCAGGGAAATAAAGCAAGCGAAAGAAGCTGCTAAGATATTAAAAGATGTTGATAAATTAACTAAGAGATTGAAAATATCTTATAATCTTAAGAATAATTTGTGAAACTTATAGCATTTTTCTTAGATGTATTACTTAATAGTACAGCAGTTAATAAAATGCTTAATGAGAATGATGTTCTTTTGTTTCTATCTTTTGATCTTTCTATGTTTCGATTGTTATTTTGTTTTTAATCTGTGTTTTATTTTTCATTCAGGATGTAGATTTACCATGAGAAATCTCCACTAAGGATATGCTTAAATACCCATTAAAAACTCTGAGTGCGACAGTAAAGATAATACATATGTAAACTTATTAAAAAGTGTGCAGTGTCGAATAAGATTTTAATTTTTTAGATGTTTTGTTCTAGACTGACATTGACACTGGCAGACGCCGCAAAGAATTTAAGTGACATTGATATTTTTCCATACCATATTTCGTGTATATTTAATTATTTTGTAATATTATTTATATAATGTCGTGCCTACATAAAGAGCGAAAACCCATGGTTCCTTTAAAAACTTTAGATATAATTTTTAGAAGAAGATATGTACCGAATACTCAGCATTATTTCACCGACCGTCGTCACGCAGTACGCAAAGATGAAGGGAAAAGAAAAGCGGAGCCATTCCGAATACCAAGATCTGAGAAACTTCTATCATATATCAAATACAGCGACCAGCAGGAAAAGAATTATATGAGGAAAAGATTAACTCAACCTCTACATATGAAAGACAATTTACGAATGGCTGCTACGAGAGATATTTCAGAACGACTCTTTATCGAAGAAACCAGTGATAGTGTAAGAGCAGTTGTAGAAATTCATCCAGAATTTTATTCAGTCATCGAAGGTCGCCCACTGCGTTGTTTTGATGATATAAAAGTGTATATTAACAATATACGTAGTTACGCTATGGATCGACAGCAGATTGGTTACAGACGAGATTTAATACTAAATATCGATAAAAGTATTATGGAGGAATCCACGGAGCATAACAAAATTGTAGAGAACTTGAAGCGTCATATACAAAATTTCCAAAAATTTCTAACAGAAGACTACAAAAAGGCATGTCAGAAAGTTTCAAAAGCAGAAAAACTTTACAGCGAATTGGTCGCCAAAAATTCTCAATTTTTAAGTTATGTTTCAACTTTAACCCTTCTGAATAACATTATTTTTAAACTAGACGCAATTAGAGGTGTTTTGAAGATTTACAGACGATTTTTGTTGTTTGTTGCTCCTCTTTCGTGGCGGCAAATTTATGACGAGACATTAAGGGACAGAGTACGTTCCATCCAGTTTGAATCTGGACAATTTGCTACAGATAATGACCTAGTGGATACTTTGGATATCGACAAAATTATTGAATCCGCAAAAATTGAATTTAAAAATCCTCTACCAGCGCACATGTATTTTAAGACGCCTGAACAAATGATGTACTTATTTCGTACTATGGAATTACAGAGTAGAGAATATTTAATCCAGCTATCCAAAACGAATGTACCATTTCGTTTGTTACAAGAACGAATTAAGCAATTAAAACAAGCAACGAAACACGAACTTGATTACTTTCAATTTTATATTGATAGTATTAATTATGAAATAGAGCGAGAAAATCACAATGAACAACTTCTACAAGAAAAATTCTTCCGTATTTTAAACGATACATTTTACGAAAGTGTCGCCAGTCCTGACACTTTGAAGCTTAAAATTTGCATCGAATACGTTTACGAACAAATTTTTGGTAAATGTGAAGAAGGCCACCAAAGTCTACACGATCCAATGAAGATTTTGGAGGTGATGTATGAAGATTATAATCTGCGGTTAGATGCTTTAGACTTTAAAATTGTCAATCAAGCGAGAAATGACTTCTTTTCACAAGATCTAAAGACAATGATGAACGCTTACAAGGCACAGCGAGAACTGAGAGCATTCCGAGAAATGACGAATGCTATGAATAAAGCATTTTTACCTCCTGCAAAATTTTCAAGACCTCCATCAGTAAAAAGTGTTTTAATAAAAGCTAAAAAGAAGCACGCCAGTACAAGAAAGTCTATTGTAGAGGAAGAAGACGAAGTGAAGTCAAAACATAAATTAACAGCTGACGAAAAAGAGGGTTTAATATTTTTTACAGAGTGGTGTGAAGGATTGGATCCAACACCTTTTCTAAAAGAGTATAATGAATTTGTACGACCCGTTTTTAGAAAAACTCCTAAATTATCAGATTAAATATGTATTTGTTTCTTTTTACTTAACATATGGTATTAAACATTTACAGCATTTTAAGTTTTTGTTTAAGATCTCGTTGGCTTTTTGTCATATTTTGTTATTTGAATACATTGTATATGTCGTATTTAATTTTTTAACATTATAAAATGGATAAAGATACACATTCTGTTATCATAAACGTATCTAAACAAAGAAGATTTTCAACGGAGGAAAAAAAGGAGAAAATCAAAAACTTTTCAACCGTAACTCCAAAAAGGACACACAATCGAATAATATCGAAACCGTCAGAAGCAACCTTGAAAGTATACGCCATACCCGAAAATAAGCCACTACCTGTTTTGCAACTTAAAAACGATTGCACCTTACTTTCTTATAAGTTTTATTCAAAAATACAAGACTATCATAGACAAAGGAAACAATTTTCAATACCTATTCATAAAAAACATAAAATCCTAAGCACTGATTACCGGCAACGATTACATGTTGAAGCTTCAACTGAAAAAATAAAGACCATTTTAGATGTTGATGAAGATTTTTATAATTGTATCAACGGACGTATATTTAAACATGAACAGGGTGCACAGTACAAATCCTTGAAGATAAATTTTAACAAAAAACTACATATAAAGCAGCAAGTTGGTCATGTAAGAGACTGCGCTTTGAACATAGAGCTAAATCAGAAAAAGGAGTTAGAAATCTACAACAATGCTTTACGTCAAGTAACAGATCAAGCGAAGTATTTTGACCAATTCATTTCGGAAGATTACAGGAAGTCTATGATGTTGTTGGAACAAGGCGATAAATTAATTTCAGAAGTTGATAAAATTAAAACTGAGCTAGAGAATTTGGCTGGAGAAACATTTTTTATTACTTCTAAACTTATTGGATTGGATTATAGGTACGGTTTGCTGCAAAAGTATGGAAGATTTTTATATTATTTATCACCTCCGTCCTGGAGAGCTGGTAACAGAGATTTTGCGAGATCAGTAGAAATCGAGGCAAAGGGTTTTGACTTAGGAGTTTCTAGCGAAGAAGATACTTTTACAGTGATTTATGAAAAATTACGTAAAGAATGTTCTAAGTTTGTTAAACCGGCGTTGTATTTCACTGAACCTAAAGATTTAATGGACGTGTTCGAAAGAATCGAACAACAACAACTGAATCACTTCACCCATGTATCTCATTTTTCTCCTTACACGAAGATGTTAAACGAAAGTATTAAACTTTTAGAAGATAACGTTGCTGAAGAGAGTGTGCTAGTGTCTGAAACAATAACGTATTTTAAAGAGCTTGTAGAGTTTAGTGAACAAAGATGTTTATTTTTGGAAGAGAAATTTTTCAAAATTTTACATGGTTTATTTTATGAAAGTGTTGGAACAAAAGATGTTTTAAAGTTGTTTTTCCATCTCGAGTTTTGTTATGAGAAAGTTTATGCAGAGAAACCTATCAATAAAGATATGATAGCTGTTGCGGAATCTTTGGAGGCTTTTTACTTGGATTATTCGAAGCGATTAGATGCACTGCGAAGTGATACTGTTGATCGCGCGGTAAATATTTGTTTAGAAACAGAAAGGAGACAAGCTAGAAATGCTATTAAAGCAGCGAAAGAGTTGAAACTTTTCAATCTATTGGAGAGGAACTTGCTTCGAGCGCATGGATTGCCACCAAAAATTACTCCTCCCGTTTTACCTATGACAACAACCAAACAGGCGAAAATAACTTCGAAACCACGACGAAATTGTAAAGAATAGTAACTGAGGTTTTACGTATAACATTATTTTGAGGGTTTTAATATCTATTTTAAAATGTATCTGGAAAACTGGGTTTGTATGTTTGAAATACTAGCAAAAGTTACTTACCATTTTTAGTCTACATTAGATTATTAGAGATGCTCTATTCAATGCCATTTTTAATATTTTAAATAAGAACTTTAATACTAAACACTTGGTACTTTCAATAGTCAGAATATTAACGTTAGGTGAGGGTAATGAATAACTTGAAAAATAAATATTGAAAACAGAATTTATTACGGGGAATCAGTTTCAAAACCATTCATGATGATATAAAAAACAATATAATAATTTATTTTTGCTTGCTTCTTGTGTGCTTTTAATTAAACAATATCTTTTTTTTATTAACAAAATGTACATAACCTAGTTCATAATATAAATGTTTGGTTTCTTGGTATTGACAAATAACTACATGCAATTTACATATTTACAAGGTGAGTAACATAAACTCTGGTAAAAGCTTTTTATTATTACATATACCTTAACATCTATCACTATATCTCTATGAGTAAATAAATAATAAAACGTTCTCAATAAATAAGAAAACAAAGGCATAATTCTTGCAAATTTCTTCCAATAAAATTAAAGCTTTTATGTGATTTTTATAGCCTGTTTAAAATTAAGACATGCGCAATAATTATTTTAAAATATGGTTCCTTTTTCAATTTTTATTAAAACGATCATACGCATAAGCTTAACACATGGACGTTTTTTAAATGTCTGTATTTAGGTGTTATAAACGTTGATTTTCACTGCTGATACATTCATACTAATATTGTTACGTTTTTTAGGTTGAATGACCGATATATTTTGTTTTAATTCGAATGTTCTAGGAGTGGAAACCAAGCTTTAATACACATGTCAAATTATACAACAAATGACAAAAATTATGCCAAATACCTTTGCCTCTTTTATGTATTCAAGTAAATAAATTTAATTATGATATGTAAATAATAGCTTGTATAGGATGTATGTTTTATAAGGGGGTATTAATATCGATTACATAATATGTGAACTATATCGTATAATTTCACTAGTACAAATAAATATTGTGCTTCTTGAAACCAAATCTTTATATTTGCAGTCAAAACTATGTATATAACAGACATGGTTAAGGATATTTGTTGTCATTGGTTGCACCTTGACTATATGATCATATTGAAACAATTATTATATGAAACAAAATTTGACACAAAAATATCTCAATGCAGTTAAAAAGATACATAGCAACTAGAACACAGGTTGGTTGAAAACGCTAGACGTTCTACACAACTATTACTATAAACAATAAGCAAAACACGTAAATACATAAACATTATAACATGATATCTTGTTAACCTAATGGTCCCACAATCGTGAGCCACGCAGCAGGTCTGAAATAAATGATGACTCCAATGCTTAATTACATGCCGTTCAGGAAACTACATCATTCATTCAATTCATTTGTAAAGCCAAATGTTTTGTAAAATTCAACTAAAAACCTTTATTGTTTTATCCATCATCTATCTAGCTATTTTCAAAAGAAAATGACTAGCCGTTAATTTTAATTTTTATCAAAATATTAGTTTCCTTCAAAATGTTCAATACAACTTGAGCAACATTATGATGGAATATTTTCATAAGACGTTTTACATCTATAGTAAAAACAATATTTGGTGTTTCATCCGTTGTTCACTACTGACATCTTTATAAACATCGGTAGCGGGATTTTACGATAGTTCTTATAACTCGCACTGATATTTGACAACATGTCAACCGTACTTATTGATTGTCTATGCTTGTCGTTTATCTGACTCGTTTCTTCTGTAACTTCGCTAACTTTCTTCTCTTGAGTATCATTTCATACAATGCTTCAAGTCCCTCGTGGAGGCCTTCCCCCGTGATGGCACATGCGGGCTGCACGTGCCACGCGTGAGCGTCGCGCGACCCGTGCGGCGACGACACTAGTTCGTGCAGACCCAGCAGCTTCTCCAGTTCCCTGGGTTCCTTCGCCCCGGGCAAGTCCTGTTTATTTGCAAGGACGAGTATCGGAACCCCGGCGTTATCTGGCGATTTCGCCGTTCGAATGAGTTCCATTTTCGCCTCCTCCATTCGCTCTACGTCGACAGAGTCCAATACAAATATAATGCCGTCCGTACATCGCGTGTATGATTTCCAAAGCGGCCTGAGTTTTTCTTGTCCACCGACGTCCCACACGAGAAAATTAACACCTTTCGATTTGCCTATCGTTCCTTTCACTTTTTCACAATTGAAACCGATAGTGGGGACGGTGTTAAGGTACTGGTCGAACTTCAGGCGGTAGAGCGCGGTAGTCTTGCCAGCGGAGTCGAGGCCGAGCATGACGACGTGCAGCGTGCCCTGCGCTGAGGGCAGTGCGTCGAGCAGGCTCGAGTTCTTGCCCATGTTTGCACCCATGCTGTGTTGCCGCGGCGGCTATCTGACGCTCTCGTCTAATAGCATCCCGAGCATCACACCAACACCTGAAAACACAAATAACATTCACTTAGAACAAATAAATTTAACAAACCTTTAGATTATCAAAAGGAAGAGACATGAATGTCTTCATTAATTTGTTATAGTACCTAATAATCCTTGTGTATCTTTGTTTTAATGATATTAAACATATGCAAGAAAACTTGCACTTGGCAAGTTTTGTGAATTGCTCAGACTTTATATTGTATGTAATTTTGAAAAGTATTCCCTAGCTAGACAAAGTCGCGGTGGGGCTCAGCGCTCAGACGAGACAAGACGTCGCCTGCATTTATAATTTTCCACCTGTACACTCATGGCAATGTCTACATAATGTATCTTCAAAGATTTTTTTTTTTGCTTTTGCTCTATAATAACTTTAAAATTAATAGAAACGTTGATTTGGGATAAGAAATAGACATAAAAATTCCCACAATAACTATCTGGAGACATATACATGTATTTTTATACTTAAGACGTGTGGAAAATAAACAAAGCCGCTATAGTAAAAAGGTAGATTTTATAACAGCTTCATTGCTTTTAATATCTGTATATAAACTAATATAATAGTGTTTTTGTACTGCATTCGAGATGCAGGTCGGTAACGTTTGGTTAAAACCGAGAGCAGTGCGCTTGTTATTTTTGTCATTACAGGACATTGACCTCCGCCGGCTGATGTTTCATTTGTATCACGATTCCTTCTGATTAATGTTTCAGATATTTTATTACATTGAATATGAGTTTCAATACAACGTACAAGAAATATGAGATACAAAGGTTATATTAAAGAATTAATATAACCTTTGTATCTCTTTATCTCTTTATCTGTTTAAATTTTTTTATTTCGAATAAAGTTTAATTAAATATCTTTAAATATTAACCTCATTAGATAAAACATACTCTGTCAATTACATTTTCTTTATTTCTTGGAATTAGGCATAAGTACACTTGTTTAAATTAAATTAATTTTGATTTATAAGCAAGGATGCGGGTATGTATTACATTAATTTTACAGTAAAACGTTGATATTTCATTAATATGACGAATGTCATATTATTTTTTACGATATGTTAATTTTATCTGTGGAAATAAATCTTTGATTGATTTGTATTTCAGTAATCATGGTCCATCGAGAGTGACCGCGACTTACAGCCACACCCTTAATGGGTCGTCGCAAGAGAAAGCAAGGGAGTCGAAAACATTGGGCCCTTTACTTTCTCTTATATTATTTCAACATGACTTTTTAAATTCTCCTTATTTTGATAATCACTTTACGAGTTTTAAATACATAATGGAATCAAAATAATACTAACGAAATAAACAATGGAAGAGTATTGTACAAATTATACTTGAACATGTTATTTGTATAAAATGACTAACTGTCGCCCGCAACTCCGTCCACGCGGAGTTAAAAAATAACTTACCGAGCGCCTATGTGTTCTGGATATACCTTCCAACAAACATCCATCCATCCAAAAAATCGCGTTTATAATAATATTAGTAAGATTGTATATGATAGGTGACGTATCTTATTAGTTTAAATACATTTGAATATAATAAAATCTATTCAAATAGAGCACGAATGAAAACCGTAATAAATTTCCGGTCGACGTATGTTGTTATCGATTATAGATAGTTAATAGATCGCTTAGTCCAGTTATGTGCGAGTGTGCCGCTAATCAACCTGGTATTCGACTGGCAAGTGCAGGCGTCGTATCGGCTACTTGTGCCATCAATCTGACCAGCCTTACTTGGCTTTAACCCGGTACACAGTTTCCGTTGAGAATTGTAAATCAGACATTACTACATTCCGTCTATATATTAAAAGATACTGGTGATACAGAAAATCAAAGAATAAGTCTTACTTTCACTAAATACTGAAAAGTAAAGAGGTTGTATGTTGTCAAATGCAATGAATGCATTAAGATGATTATTTAGGTAGAATCTTGAATTACTGTTCCGCTTTACGTTTTAAATCTACTAAAAGTGTATTCAACACTTATATATAAATTAAATGTTATGATAAAAAGAACAGCAATGAGAAAGAATTTAAATTTTTACACTTGACAGAAATAAAATATTCTAAAAGAATATATGATATTTCAATCGCATTTAGGTTACCAAAAGAGACGCAGTGCAAGGCTTTCTATAATTGACGCGATGCATTCGCTAACGCAACAGACATAACGGTGGACTAAAATAGATGTAAGTGCTCATTCGTATACCGTACTAAAGTAGTTGGGGCAGGTGCTTGCGAATTTAGAGCTGAGATAACGGCACATCTGCACCTGACCAGGACGTCTGGATTCACAACTATCGTGGTTAAGAATAATTTATTGCTTCAGTACTTTTACATTATGTCGGACTAAAATACATACACAAAATTATCGTATCATCTGAGTATATCAAAAATATTCATTTTTGTTTGAAGTTTTATTTGCTTTTGGTTACCTAATTTTTATGTTTAGAGCACAAGTACTGTTACGAGGCTTTCATATTTATAATTATTATGATTTATTACAAGAATGTTTCGATTAATTGAGTGTCTTGAAGTCATTAAAATTCTTTGAAATATTTTCTCAGTCCTAATCTTACTTTTTATTAATATTATAAATGCAGATGGATGGATGTTTGTTTGAAGGTATGTCCGGTAGAACATAGCTTGGAAGAGCACATTATTCGCGGACGGAGTCGCGGGCGCCAGCTAGTCAATTGTATGTGAGTTAAAATTATTAATATGTACTTACAGAGAAAAACGATGCTACGAAGATTTACAATCGTCAGACTTCGGAATCCCTGAAACAGACAAAATGCAAAAATTAATAAAATTAAAACTTAAATAACTATTTAAGTTGGTAAATTTAAATAATGATACAAAGTAAACCACTATTTGTTGACGAGTGACACTGACAATTTGACAATTTTGTCAACAATATAAAAACATATCATGACAGCTACCGTACAAAAAACATCTGTAACTTTTTGACCTTGTCATGAGGGCGCTAGTGAGCTATAATATAATAATTTAGTTTGCCTTATGCCCACAGGGTCCAGCAGGATCAGACATTTTTGTCGGTCTATATAGTTCGACAAGGATCTTATGACAATCAGAAAATACTATATTAACAATGTCATCTTCACAACGTATTTTGATCAATGAGGGAGCGGCCGTAAAAAATGGCATTTCTATTTTTCTGTATGTTTTATATTAATGGCCACCCTATACGTAGAGTTCAAAATTGTTACGTCACTCTATCTCTTCTCATTTTCAAATGAAATCACGTTTAAAAGGAAAAATGAACACTGGCCAATATTAAAGATTCAAAAGAATGTAAACGCATTGACGTTTGAATAGGATCTGTGCGGATGATGGCGGTGTGCAATTTCCGCCGCTTCCGCGCCTCGCTTCTAATGAACACGGACAAAACCGCCTTGTTCCTTTAATGGGCCTGGCTAAAGGAAGGTTGCTTTAGTTTTTGTATTCTAATAATGGTTTAAAATTCTGTAAATGTAAACACGATATAATAAATTGGAAAGCAAATGTAAGGCCGCAGTACTGGCAGGTGACCTTTTAAATTTTTAAGACGATAAAGTTAAACGTATTTGCGCTGCTCTCTTGTCTTTTATTTCAAGCAAACGATAATTGTATGGGCTCTATTTTTGGTTACTCCGCGGCTAGCGCGTGTTTAGCTTGAAGCAAATATTTAAATCAGAGGTGGCTAGCTAGTCGATCACGAATTAGTCCAGTCATAGCAAGGAAAATATACAAGTAAAACATAAAGTAGCAAAAGATGCTCAGACATTTATTTGTTTTGACTGTGTTCTTGTTCAATTTGATATGAAACGAAGAAAACGCGATTTGTTTAAAAAAAAAACTATTCTAATCAAAGCTTTGATGAGAATGTTTTCTTTAATTGCTTTCTAGGCCTTGAAAGTTTTTTTTGTGTTTGCGAGAATTGAAATAAGCAAACAGGTTCGTAGACGAAGCTAGTTTATTTTGAGGTCCACATAAAAGCGACTTAAATAACTTCAGTCCGCGGTAACCGTAACTCAATGTCTAGAGTAGTTTGTATTATGAATAGGGTTGACGTTATGCTTTTTTTTTCAATTTAAATTTTAAATCAATGATTGCAATTTTTTTTTACTATTTTAGCTTAAATGATTTTTTAAAAACATTGAACGTCTATTTTTAAATGCATGCATGTTTTCAACCTATGTCTATTTTATATTGGCATAAAGTGAGTAAAAGAGTGATGTTAAGCCTCGGTTTAATAAGCTAATGCATAATTGCATGATCATTGGATGAGTATCGTTGATTTTAAAAGTGATTGCAATACGTGAAAGCCGACTGGCGTAACTAATATATCTATGAAGTCGGAAAGTGAAAATTGACGTTTTCCAATAACCACTAAACACGTAACTTGGCGAACGGAGAAACTTTTCTGCGGGTAAACTATACTTTATTACTCTGCTGTTAGTGAATACCATATTGTTAGCCAAAATAATACTGCATTTTGCTAAATGTTTTGTTTTCTTGCAATTTTCCTAAACAAATTACTATTGTATTACTATGATGAAGAAAATTTAAAGAAAAGTTTAGAAACTAAAAGCTTTTATTCGTTAATATTTTGTATCACTTTCTTCATATTTTTCAACGTAAATAAAGTCACCATCCCTTTAAAAATAAACAAAAAGTTATTATGGATTCCCTTCCAATAAACGAACACATGTTATATTTTTTCTACAAGTTCCTTTCTCTCTTAAAGGTCTGTGAGTATAATGATTTACTTGATACAAGCAGTTTTTGTATGATCGTCGGGCTGTTTGCAAAACATCTTGTGTTAATGCGCCAAGGGTCACGCACGCGTAATTCACGTGACACCTGTCAAAGCTGCATCCTGTCAAATAACAGATGTAACGTCCTGGGAACGCATAAATAAATCACATTGGGACAAGACAGCATGACTCTCATTACGTATGACGTATTGGAAATGTTGAATAAAAATTAAGTTATGATTCTTGATACTTTGCTTCAATTTCGAGCTACGTGTAAATAATACGTCGACCTATTTATTTTACTCAAAGTACAGTCAACACAACTCAATTACATGAATTGACTAGTAATAACTAATGCACTTCTACATAACTATTTATTTACCATTACATATAACTAATTTAGGCTTTTATATACATAATTTTCTATCTATGTCGGACAAAAAGTATGCACTTCGTAGTCCAGATGCAAAGTATATTTATAGAATTAGAAAATCGGAAGCAATCCGGTCCCGAGCTCTACACTCGACTGACCGCAGCAGACATCGATGTCTGACCGCCACGCCATGCCGAATGCCACGCAACGTACAGACATACTTTGTACATGTGTTATTTACGGGATCACTAGTATTGACTTCAATTGCTTGAACAAATCATAGCGGTGCTGATATCACGCATATACTCGGTGATTTTAGTGACCCACGTAAAATCTATGTCGGAAATTGGAGTTTATTTCTATATCTTTGTCTTGGATAAATAAGAGTACCTTAAACCACAATTTCTTACATACTTAACTCCTTATTTCAGGTAAAGATTATTGTTCCAAGAAAATTTTCTTGCAATTTAAATGCACGGTTAGTTAGGCGAACGTTCGTATACTAAAAAGACCTAATTCGTATTGAGGCCACGCATTCAAAACTGAATAACTATAACGGAGACATTTAAATAACATGTTAACCGTAGTAATGAGCGTGTAGCGGTTAACGGTTTCCATTTCATTTTCGGCCAGGATGTAAAGTATCGAGCATGAAGAATATATAAAAAAAACAATCGTCTGATATCTCTGCAAATCTTGTCTCCCTTAGCGACCAATTGACTTTTAGCGAGTTGTTTATTTCGTCTGCTAAGTTCCTAAGTCCGAGCCGAAATCCAGTGATGTACCATGGAATTTTGGATTGTGTGAGCTCATAGTTGTGGTGCAAATTGCGATTACAGCATACGTCAGTCTCGGTTCGCGTACGAATGTAACGCCTTTGTGCAATTGTGTGAAACTTAGAAACTTGATAATTACACAAATCCTATGAGAGTTTTTTTAGTAACATAAGCAAAGTGGTAAACAAAGCCAGGCAAGTGTTAAGTTTTTTTTTCTAAGTAGATCCTTGGTTTAGATTTAGTAGAAGCTTCACTATGAAATTTCTTCCGTTATTATTTGAAAACTGTCAGTGGTATACTCGGTAAGGGATTGATTACTATACATTAGAATAAACGTTTATAAATTAAAATACACAAAAAAATTACTATGGTACAAAAAAAAAGATATGACAAGAGGTGGCCGGGCCGGCTCAGCTGATGTAGGGACACCCAAGGCCATCCCTAGGGTTTTCTCCCGTTGTTCATTACATAGACTGTATTCATAGAACTTGTTATTATTTATCTTAGACGTTCATCTTCACAAGATTCATTTTGCAAATTGAAGCAGTGTAAAAGCGATTAAGGTAAAACTAATCACAAGATCCCGCGGTTATTTCATAGAAATCGGATTACGATTTAATTACAAAATGAATTTAAAATATGTTAAAACTCTCGTTAAAATGAAATTATAATTAGTTTAAAAGAAGGAAGCATTTTGTATCGTTTAGCGAGGTGTTTTAACGTATTGTATGGTAATGTGTATTCAGCTTTATGGGCACAAAAAGCGTGGGAAAAATACAATACCGTGGTATGAGTTATTATTAAGATCTTTGTGCCTTTAACTGAACAAACAATTTGTTGTTGCCGTTTCTATTTTGCGATATCAATAATTGTGACACGAATAAAATTTTGACATATTTAACACCGCTAGCGCGGAATTGAAAAAAAACTTAATTAGTAGCATTTGTGTTGTTTAGGACTATGTTCAACACCTGTGCCAAATTTCATCGGTGTCCGTTCAGCCGCTCTGGAGATACCTTCAAACAAACATCCATCCATCCATCCAAATATTCGCATTTATAATATTAGTTAGATAGTAAGATGATGTAATGTCCGTACTCAGTAATAGATTTATGTTTTGTGATCGGTATGAACTTTTAGTTTATAACAATACAGATTTAATATAAAATGCTGGCCATTAAAGTATTACATTTGCGACATAATGTTTTCATAAAAAAGAATGGTTGTTTTTAAAAGCGTTTCAAAGTTTTCTTTTGAAATGAAAAGAGTCTTTATGAAGCAGTTTACAGGCGAGTGTGCCGCTAGTTACCGGGGCCCAGCTTAACTGCACAAAGGATAATGATGCCCTGTGAAGGGAAGCTGCCAGGTACTGTTCTCGCTTCTCTATATGCTATTTTATTTATGTTTCACTATTTAATTTTAATTTAGTTATTAATTTTATATATATTTATGTAGTTTGAAAAACAAAAAAATGAAACTCTAAAACTAACCTCTTCAACCCAACACGGCTTTATTATTATCGGTCGAAATCAATAACTGATCCCATTTTTACTTATTTCTGTTATTTTTAATTGAAATATTAATGGATTAAAAAACCTACAGATTGCAATAGTCCTTGAAAAACATGGCCATGGGTATTGTTTAAAGGGCGTTCAATAAACAATTGAAATAAACGGATCTATCTTCAGGATCGAATAATGAGTTTGACTGTTAGTTATGAAAGTCATAGTAAGAAGCATTTGTTGGTATTATTGTGTGTCCATTGAACTCATTTCGCTGGCGCTGCGTTAGGCGTGAGTTCCACCGCGTTGTGGTATTTCGTGACTAATGTACACATAATGGCTTTTTGTGAACATCAATCTACGGTTATC